GCCAGTGTCAGCACCACTCCGGTTTGAGCCCCGTGAGCTCACCTACACGTTAGGGCGAAGCTGAAATAGCCTCTAGCCTCTCAAGGCTATCAGTAAAAAAAAAAAGAAGCCGATGCGCAATTGAACGTTTCAAGTTTCGTTACTCTGAAAGTGCTACTTAAAGCAGGTGTATTCGAAAATCAATTTGTCATAAAATCGCGGTCGAAAAACAATCGATTTTATTACTCCGTCGACTACACTTCGCCGGCTTCCACACTAAATTCGCTGCATCGCTGCACCGAAACACCGACAGAAGCTTTACAGCGAACATTAAATCTCGTTCGCCGGTAAAACTGTTATAAATCGATTCAGCCAGGTTAAAGAATTAAATGGATCGTAAAAATTAATAGGCGTCTGTCGCGACGAATCGACGGGCACAAGCCGAATGGTACTTTCCCAGTTTATGAATTACTTGGGAACTTTATGACGGCTTTGTCAGGCTCGGCACTTTTTTCCCGCGTCACATGTTACAGACGGACGCGAAATTGGATTTTTTTAGACAGAGAATGGGAAAAATATTGCGATAGGGTGTGTTTGTTCGGACGTACGCGCGCTGCTAAGTGATTGTTTTGTTTAGCACGCGATTTTTTTCGTTGATTTCGATGAAACAAACCTCACATTCGTAATTTCGGTGTAAAGATAAATAGAAAATAAATGCTTTTCTTGCTAAATCTAGTTATAATCTAAATGTATTCAGTGCATAAACATAAAAACGACAACACATACAACAACAACAAAACCTCAGACTTTGTGTTAATATGTGGCTTCGAGTACCAGGCTCGCATAAATAAAAGGAATACACATCGGAGTCGACCTTTGTACTGTGCACTCGACCGGCTGCGGGAGCACTGCATGCTTCGTGGAGCAACTACTGAAATGGCGAATGAAATGTTTTTAATATGCACGACGCGGGAAATTTAAAATTGGAATCTGCGCTCGCGGAAATATTTTTCTGGATGCTTCTTTGTTGCATTTTGCATCAACGAAATCTTTCTTTCCACAAACGAATGGAATTTGTGAGACATTTAATTTTGTTTTTCCCCTAAGAATCGAATAGTATTTGTTAACAAATCGTAATCTATTTATTTATATTGAGAATACAATGACGCGGCAGTATATTAGAAATGTAATTTCCTTTAGTTTTGAATATTCTGAATTGGCTATGGAATCTTAGATATTAATAGGAGACTATTAGTGTTAAGATATTGGAGTTATTTTGTGCCACTTCGGCTTCTTTAATTTACCAATACTAATACTGGTTCCACCACTATTCAGCCTATTTTTATCGCGAAGCACTCCTATGCGTTTCGGTTTGAAGGACGGGAAATTCATGTCGGTTAGTCACTAAGCAGTGGGTCGATGATTGATGGATGTTTTTAGATATGTCAAATTTGTTGTTCAGGTAGAATGAAACACGATGCATTTTATTCGGATGAAGGGTTGCTCTTTAGCAACTTAACCTAATAGGTGTATGGCTCTAATAAATAATGAAAAAAAAGAAGGGTTGCTCGAGTCAAACTCTTTAGTCCAGAAACTACCGGTACTATAGCAACGGTTACCATGGAAACTTTGTTTACGTGTGTGCGATCTTAGATGATAAATCCATCCTGGATAGAATTTACGTACAATCCATTATTGATGATGTTAACATCCAGTTTACGAGCTCCGTTAGTTTTAGGCGTGTTTTATGGCCTGTAACTCTGCCAATGCCGGTCCCAAGCCCGGACGAGTAAAGAGGAGGGTCGAGTTGGAGTTTGACCTTTCCACCGTAAAACAGTCAACGCCGAATGTCTGGCGGTGGCTAAATAACCGGGCCCAAATAAGGCTTCAGCGGCCTTGAAGAGCTAAATCTCTTCCAAAAGCACCGCAGTGGAAGGACGCGGGAACCCACCATGTGTATTTTCCCAAGAAAGCCTCATGAGGCCACGACCCTCAGGATCGAGGACTATCGAGGCAAGGAGGGAAGATGGCCTGCAAACATATGTACACGTATGTTACTTCATCATTCTAATTCAATTTCTTTTCAAAATTGTGTTTTCCTTTTATCAGTATTCACACTATTAAATTCTTATATATATATTTTTTTGTTATTGCTTAGATGGGTGGACGAGCTCACAGCCCACCTGGTGTTAAGTGGTCACTGGAGCCCATAGACATTTACAAAGTAAATTCGCCACCCACCAGACAAGACAAGAAGGGTCGTCGTACCCCCTTTCGGGGGCACGGAACGGGCCTCGGGGCAAACCCCACTACCCGGGACGGGGCTCCCTACCACACAGGGCAGGGGTGATATAAATGCAGGACGAGACGGGGAAGGACTGTTCGCAGCGCGCATACGGTTGCATAGCATCGACAAAATATATATACTTATACATAATACGATGGGCTTGGTTCTGTTGGGCGGAGTGATGCCCGCGGAGGAGTCACCCCGGCGCCGGCCGCTGTCCTCTGCTTGATTTTTTTTTTTTTTTTTTTTTTTTTTTTTTTTTTTTTTTTTTTTTTTTTTTTTTTTTTTTTTTTTTTTTTTTTTTTTTTTTTTTTTTTTTTTTTTTTNTCATAACAATAGGCCTAGGTTTCTTTGTATTTTTCCCTATTTTTCTGATTTCTTGAATTTCTTTTCGGTCTAGTTTGATTCCCAGATATTTTGATGTGAAATTAATAATTTCCGTTTCTAAATCCGAGTAAGAGTAGATTGAGTTGTGTTCTTCAATGCCAAAAAATACAATATTTCGATTTCTTGCCTGTTTCTCCAATATATGAAGTCTTTGTTCCTGCATTTCAAATTGTTCTTCTAGGGTTTTATATTTTTGTTCAAGTTGACTTAGTTTTTCGTCTAAAATCAGATTCACATTATCCGTAACTGTTTTTGCAACTTCTATACCGCTTTCCTTTATTGCGATTTTTTGGTCTTCGAGATCTTTTTGAATTAAGCGTAGGGTGGTTATTATTTCTTCCATTGTTATAATTCACTTGGATTTATGAAGCAAACGACGATTCCAAGAAAATCTATCTTATCTTTGTTTTCATACAGGCGGTGCCCTCTTTTGAGCACATACAGAATTTAGATATGAGAATGCCGATAATTATTGACAAAATGGTTGATTATCTAAATATGTGTCGTCCGCTGGCAGATGGCGCTGATTACAGCAATATGACTTCGATGTTTATTTTTTTTATTTATTTCCAAGGCTGTAATTATTGAGATTTTTCTTTTTAGGTACACTATTCACTGTTTGTAAAATTGTATTCACTAGTTATTTGCACTTCACCGGTTATTGCCGGACCACAACAATCCACTTTGTTTTTTGAAGGTATAGCACCGGTTTCACAATGTTCGTCCAATTTTTCTATTTTTCGGTTCTTTTTTCAAGTCTACTATTCCACTAATTCTATTAAGTGTAACGTGTCACTTTTATTCACTTTTTCTATAGTTTAGTACACTTTTTTTATTTTTAATCACTTATGAATACACAGTCGATGTAATCGTGGCACTGCTTCGCCTACCCTCCTCCGGAAAACTGTCCAGTATACTACTACTATAGACAGTATACTACCACCATATACGAACATTGGAACGTTGCCACCAGAAAATTCTGCGTAAACGATCAATGTCCGCTGGTCTGACCCTATTCAGAATACGAAAGTACTGCGAAGAGCCAATATCATGGAAATTGAGGCCTATCTCAAGCGTCAGCAACTTCTTTGGTAGATACTTATCGCGTACGGCAAAGTGCATCTTTTTCTCTGAACTTGAGCGCCACATAAATAAGTCTGACATTGAGCTTTCTGAGTAGAAAAAATGACCGAACGAAAGTCTTCGGTGAAAACCAGATTTAGAAACTTTGACGAGAAACCCTGCTCTTAAATAGATACTCTATGCGATGAATTGAATTAACGCCCACCTTGTTCTATATCTTACAACTATTAAAATGGTGGGCTCACCTGCCCGCATTGTGCATGAACGTTTCGAAAATGGGCTACGGTAGCCACACACGAGCACACCGTGACAATTAGAAACGGAGTTGAAATGGTCGCCGTGGCCGAAATCAGCCAAAGAGTATTTATTTAGTCCCTAGATATTTTTGTGTTGCCGTCGTAGGCATACAGCCCACCTGATAGTCAATAGTTATCGTCGCCAAGGGCAGAGTCAAGCCGCTGCCTACCTCCCTTTTTTTTCGAGCCGGGGGCCGAACCTCCTACGAGGTTCCCGCGCCTTGGGGCTGCACGGGGTTTGTGGAACTGGTCCGCGACTGTGAGACCGCGGGCCCAAGGAATTATATGGCGCTACCGCACTTAACGATGCTGTCTACCTCCCAAGAGGTCCTACCACCAGTGATTACGCAAATTATAATTTTGCAGGTTTGGTTTTTATTACACGATGTTATTCCTTCACCGTGGAAGTCAATCGTAAACATTTGTTGAGTACGTATTTCATTAGAAAAATTGGTACCCGTCTGCGGGATTAGAACACAGGTGCATCGCTACATACAAATGCACCGGACGTCTCATCCTTTAGGCCACGACGACTTCAAAAGTTGTGTGATTTTGTTTTATTTTGTCTAATTATTGTTTCTTCAGGTATAAATGTGTAATAACGGTGGTTTATTAACCATTTAATATCTGTGAAAGTACATAAATGTGGGAAAATGAAACAAAGTTGCTGAACATAACTTCTCGGGATCTTTCAAAAAGTTCATTGAAAAAGTTTCAGTAAATGACCACCATTTTACTGAAATTATACTTCATCCCATATCAGCTCATTTCATTTCGTTTCGTTTTCATTTCATTTCATGCCATGTTTCATAGTAATCAAATTCATTTCGTTTCATAATATCATATTTCATATAAAAAAGTTATCATTAAAATTAAAATTAGACTTGACCTAAAGTCTTAGTTACCAGGTCATAATATACCTAAAAAAAAATTTATCATCTATCTATGTGTAGATAACATATTTTTGTTGACTTTTGAATTGCAATTTTAATTAGTAGAAACTACGTGGGTAACAAGGATCGTGATTAAATTCTAGTCCTATAAAAAGTCACGTTCTAATTAATATTTAAGTATAGGCCTGTAAAACCGTTTGATATCGGTATGATAAGTGTTTGTTTGTGGACGTGAATGCAAGATGCCGTGCGAAAGCTGTGCGGTACAGTTCAGCGTGTTTAGACACAAAAGAGTTTGTGGTGAATGTGAGAGATACTACTGCAGCAGATGCCTCCGTCGCGGTGGAGGCTCCATGTGTGCACCATGCCGGGTGCTGTCCACCCGTCCACTATCCCGAGCAAACATCGCTCACCTCAAAGTTCGCGACCTTCAGTGCTTCCTACATCGTCAAAACGTATCCACACGAGGATGTGTCGGTACGCTTAAATATTTTTTCTAACATTCCGAAATTTATTTTCATGTTTACCAGTAGAAAACAAGTTTAAGTCCCAAAAAAAGCTATCAAAATACTGTCACATCAAAAAATCAGGTTCAATTCTATTATCAAATTCAATACAATTAATTTCATAACTGGTTAATACAAAATAAATGGATTGCCCTTTGAAGATTGTTAAATCCAATAATTAGTACACATTGAATAGTAAAAGAGAAAGTAGTAAATAGAGAGAACAGTAGACTATCTGATTTGAACATCAACATTATATTAAAGTAGATTTGGAAGAAGCAAAGCTATTCTGATCTGGTTGTAGATTCTGTAAAGTACTGCTCTTGCTAGGGTCAGTACATTCTCTCAGGTTGAGCCCCGTGAGCTCAGCTACCACTGAATATGCGGGGAAAAAAATAAAAGCCTAGTGTACTTCACAGTATGTGTTCACTTCAAATGTATTTTGGAATTGGTTAATCATTGCACAGGATGACAGACTTCCAAAAAACGTTCATTGACTAAAACTTACAGTGTGGTCTGTCCGTAATATGTGTCTTTGATGATGATCAAATTTATCATCATGTCATCATGATTTCCTTCTTTGCTCAGCTTTCCAAGCTATTTATAACTTCTAACTTTTTTCGATTTTACTATGCATGCCAAGCATAGTAAAGTTTGTTACCTATGGTAAGCTCTAAATTAGAACAGTTGTTCACCAAGAACCTCACCAAGTTAGGACATTTGATAGTTCATAGTAGCTCTGCAGTCTGTTCATTTTAATTTTAATGCAGTTTTGTAACATGTATGTATGTCTTATTACTTCTCAAGACTGTGACATTTATAGAACCAGTGGTAGGGAATCCTTTAACATTTAATAACTGTTTCTAAAAACTTAAGAATCAGCAAATAATTCTAATAATAACTTTCCAGAAAAGGAAGAGTTGGTGGGTCTGTGTGTAACACATGTAAATAGTACGGCATACCGGCGTCGGAGCTCTCGCAATGAGAACAGTCCATTCAGTTCTCTTAAAGGATTAACAGTCAACATCAATGAGTTCATAAGCTCGACGTTCAACCTGAGACCTGCCTCACAACCATATCCAGCACCACCACCTCCTACACGTAATTTTTTACTATTTTTTTATGGCTTTTGTAGGCATACAATCAACGGTGTTAGTAAGTGTGGTAACTGTTTCTCGTGTCCGACAGCAATGCCAGGGATACAGATAAGTGACTGCCTACTGCTGAATACTTTCCATAAGCCTCGTATGCAAAAGGACCTGCCATAGTGGCTAGGAAAAACCATAGAATGACATTCATTCCAGAGCGAGATGGAAGAATGAAAGATACCTGGAAATGCACTGTTAATGAACATAGCAGTTTCAGTTTTTAGGGTGTTGGTACTATAAGCAAGTAAGCTTTTTTGAAAAGCAGGTACGATCCTGTCCTGCTTTTTCTAATAACCAGGCCAACCGCATATAAAAGTTTCTCTAACCTCAGTTTAGGTAATTGTATTTTGTTTATTTCACTTAATGGCATGATCACCAACTCTACCATTAATCACTATGTCATAGCTTAAAATTATTAATAGATACACAAACATGAACTTTTGACCTCACATTAGACATTAAGAAGAAATAATATTGACTAATATTGAATCAAATGACCTTTGTGTAATTATAATTAAGAATGAATAAAGTTCAAAGTCGGTTTGTAATTTTGATTCCAAACTAAGGCTGTTTCAATAGTTGTTTATTTCAAACATCAGACATAATTTTTAACTTCCCATCAGTTTGCTATTTGGGTTAGTCTGCAAAACGCGATTCTGATTAGCCTATCACTGACAGGTTGTGAAGGCTTTTTACCACAGAAATATTTAAAGTAGATTTGAAAATGAAAGTACTTCAGTCAGGAAGGGTTAATTTTGAAGGCAGGTGAAATCTTGGCTATAGAATAAACTGGTTTGAACAGGTAGCTGTCACAACAATAGTCACTCGCACGTCCCTGGGCAGCCAGCCTCGGACCGCCTCACTACATCAGGTAAGCCTTTTCAAAACACTTCTCGTTACTTAATATAAATGATAGGAAAATAAATGGATCGAAACATCAGAAATAATATAATAATACAAAAAAAACGTAATTAATATGTAATAAGAACTTTTTAAAAATTTAGTTTTGTAAAAATATTTCAATCATTTAATATTGAATTCATTGCGAAGTCTTGTGCAAAATATTGTGGAAATGAGCTTCCAAGTGGCATGGAGCATACTGTTGAAACAATAATAAACTTTTGTAAGTCGTTACTGATAGCTACTATACATGCTCACAGGGAGCCGGCACCCCGGCGGCGCCGCCCCGCGCTCCGAGCGCTTCACCACTACTCCGGGTGACGTATCCTCATACAGCTCAATACGCGAATGAAGATAAATAAATGTTGTTTGTCCAAATGCTATTAGCTTTTAAAAAGTACCGAATTCAAATTTTGCTGCACTTTTAGATCAGAACACATTTTTATTATTATAAACGACTTGTGTGTGTGTCAATTATTGTTCACAACCTGAGGTTTCCATCAACATAACAATAATGAAAGAGTGCGTGCGTGTGGGCAGGTGGCGAAGCCGACATCCGGGTGCCGATCCCCCAGTGGACCCCAGAGGGGGAGCGCACCCCGTCCCGCAGCCCCTCCGTGCCGCTCGACACGGCCGACTGCTTCGAGATCGAGGACCTCGACGACCAGGGCTGGGAGCTCATCACCAGGCCTGCTGACCCCTTGCCCAACGGTCAGTTGCTGATGGTTTTCAAGATAAGGTATAGAACCTTATCTTGAAAAATACTTTCTATGGAAATTTATGTACAAAATTAAGAAGTATATTATAAATCTTTTTCAAGAATGTCAATTCCTCAAAAATACTTATTACAATATTAAATTTAACCGCTATAATATAAGAAAATATAAACTGTAAACGTGACGATAAGAAATGACATGTTTATTTTATTTTATTTATTCCTATTAAAATCTTTAAATTTTACTTTTCTTATATGAAACTAATACTATACTAACTATTAACTTATATGTTAAGAAGTTTTTATTAGTAGCATTCAATTTATTTCAGTAAAAATAATACCCCCGGTACCTGAATATTTTAAAATAGAATTGAAAAAAAAGCAAATTCTGCATATGTATTTAATCAGTTCTCTTTAAATATATAAAGAGAAACATAATTTATGATGTGAAAGCATCGATCAGATGGCGCCTAAAGACGCCGTCGTTGCGCACACGCGCCGCCGGTGGGGGCTGCCACTAGTATAGTAGCCGAACTACAGTTTAGGAAAATATTTATTTTATAGATTCAGAAATACTACTGAGCGCTACAGATAACCCTCCTCCCAGAGAAGAAAGAGAAGAGCGCAGAGAAACCGAACCAGAACGAGAGGCCGAGCCGCCCGCGGCCAGCCCCGAGCCCGCCACGCTGAGCCCCGGCCTCGGGAGCCACAACCGAGCCGCCTCCGAGCTGGAGCTGCGGCCCTCCGCCCCCCACCCCGACACCGGCAGCCTGCAGGACGAGCCGCTGCCCGCGACCAACCACGGTGAGACCACACTGCACCCACATGTGTTAGTGAGCTCGCATTATAAAACAACGGTTTTTATTAAAATAGTTCCGGGCGCTCCGCCAGACCTAGCGGAATTAGAATCAGATAGTCGGGATATGTTTAGTAATTTAATATATCTATTGCTTTAATTGAGTCCTGACGAACTGAGTTAGTCAAACTTAACGCGCTACTGTTCAACATCTAACATTGGCTTCAAGGCTCGGCAGAGTCTGCGGCGGACGTGGCGCTGGAGGCGCTGGGCTCGGAGGCTGCGCTGGAGGCGCTCAGCGTCCGGCAGCTGAAGCGGCTGCTGCTGCGGCACCGCGTGGAGTACCGCGGCGCCATCGAGCGCGCGGACCTGCTGGAGCGGGCGCGCACGCTGTGGCGGGACCAGCGCGCGCACGCCGCCGACCCCGAGCTGCTGCCGCTGGAGGACGCCTGCAAGATCTGCATGGCGGCGCGCCTGGAGTGCGTGCTGCTGGAGTGCGGACACATCGCCACGTGCACCCAGTGCTCCAGCAGGCTCGCGGAGTGCCCCATCTGCCGCCGGTTCGTCGTCAGGGCCGTCCGCTTCTTCCGCTCCTAGAGCCCCGGACCCACCACCCTAGATCATATTATTAGTCCTAAAAGGTATTTAAAATTCCCCACAGGTTTATTGAAAAAGAAAATGTATCAAATAACTTTGAACAATATGGGAAATAGCGCCTGTTAAAAGTCGTAAAATGTATGACGCAAAATTGCACATAGATTCAAAGGATTCGCGGCCCCGGGCCGGTGTCCTGGTCTGCAGCAGGCGCCTCGGCGAGCCATGGGAATGTCTGTGTTATAGCAATGCTACTAACAAATCAATATTTATGGAATGGCGCGGTTAGGTGCACAGCACGTCTACTTTTTGAATAACAATAAGGAATAAATCTTATGAACAAGATGATGTGCAAACCAATACAGTGACATTCGCGGGTGTCGGCTGCGGGCTATTCGAGGTCACAGCGGACATGAAAATCACGGCTCGACACGAGCGGTCACGGGCTGACACGAGCCGACACGGGCCGACACGAGCCGACACGGGCCGACACGAGCCGACACGGGCCGACACGAGCCGACACGGGCCGACACGAGCCGACACGGGCGGGCCCGGCTCGTCTCTCGTTAGTTTAGGCGTCAGTGACTCCGAGCTTAACCCATTTACGTAAAGGATCACGCTCGGCCGCCGAATGTGGAAATGAATATGGGCTTGAATTAGCGTGAAGGAATGTAGGATCAAATTATTTGTTTGAAGTTTTCTTGGCAAACCATTCTAGCGTATATTCCAATTGTCCTTCTGAGTCAGTGCTAATAATTTAAATGCTACCAATTTTACTATTTCTAAGACATAGGCCACTCCTAGCCTTGCGTGAACATTATTAATTGGACATTCAAAACATTTGAACAACTTTATCATTCAAGGTTTGTTCAAAAGTACTTATGTATGGTATGTACCTCAGAGAGTTGCAAAACGTAGTGTATCATGTGCGTCCTTTTCCCTACCTCTGCCAGCAGCCTCGAGGGTCTGTTCTGGCGTGGCCTCGGGCGGTGGCTGAGCTCACGGGGCCAACCAAAAAAAATTGCTAATGTCTGCACCAACAACAGCAGCGCGTCACTGAATCTACCACCGAATCGAAATCGCAACTCAATGGGCTGTGTCTATGAGTAAGCGACAAACTGAGTCGCGTGCAATGAAAACGGTGACCGGCGCTGCGTATGGAGACACCGAGACTGGATGGGGAGGACTCCACTTGACATGCCTGGGACCCCGCCGCCTAGTCCAGGACTAGGGGGTCTGGGGGCCCGGCGTGCTAATGCAGCTCATATCTATCGCGAGCTACCTCACACCGAGTAAAGAGCTCACTGCTCCCCAAACAATAAGTCATATTATAATTAGCCACGAAAAACATTTTGAATTTCATTTTTAAAAAGCTATCATTTTAGTATTCTTAAATGAATATAAACCACCATTTATTGTAATTAATTTAATTAAAAAAATACGTTTACGATCTGTTACTTTGATATTTGGTGTTGTCGGGGAAACTAACATGTGAGCTGGCGGGCGTGGTGCCCCCGCGCGCCCACACGTGTAGCGACAAACGTATTCACTTCATCAATTATAAAAATTTTTGAAGCGTATTGATGTAAAACGCTTCGATCAGGGTACAGTTGTATAAACCTTCGTGCGTAGAAACGTAATGTCGGTCGAATTCGATGTCGTTTATAAAGTAACTTGTTACGTTTATAAGTTTCTATTTGCGCAATGGATGTGATTTATATGAAAATAAAAGTATTTCAAAACATTCAACTTGTTTTATTTATTATAACATAATTTAGGGAGCCGTCTCGAAGGTCCCCTGCTCGTCCTCGCGGGTGTCGGACCTGCAACACAAGTTTTTTTTTTTATTGCTTAGATGAGTGGACGAGCTCACAGCCCACCTGGTGTGAAGTGGTTACTGGAGCCCATAGACATCTAGGTACAACGTAAATGCGCCACCCACCTTGAGATATAAGTTCTAAGGTCTCAGTATAGTTACAACGGCTGCCCCACCCTTCAAACTGAAACGCATTACTGCTTCACGGCAGAAATAGGCAGGGTGGTGGTACCTACCCGCGCGGACTCAAAAGGTCCGAGAGTGCGGGCTCAGTCATCCGCCGCCTCCCACGCCAAGACCTTCTCGTGCACGTGCTGCTGCGACGGACATGCACAGCACGAGATCTAGCGAATCGAAACATCCAGCACCAAACAAGTTATCTCTGATCGAGAATCGAATTCGAACCTACCTTCAATATTGTGATGAACTAATCCCGTCCGAAGGTGTGGGTCTCTACGGGAGGGTCAACTCTTATGAGGGAGGAGGCGACGGTGAAGTAACCCTCATAGTGCACGTCCTCCGGGGTGGTGTCGTAGTGGTAGTGGCCGCCCGCGCCCGCGCCCCCGCCGCCGCCGCTGAACCCGTGGAAGTGCTGCACGCGGAGGTCCAGCCCCTGCGCGGTGCGACACCACACTGACTATGTTACCGAGCGTGGAACCAGCCACGCCACCGGCTTCTACTCATTAGTTCGTGACGAACAAACAAAGCTACATATATTTTCAATATTTCAGTCAGTCAACCAAATTTGATGTTAACAAAAATAGATTTGAATTTGAATAAGATCGTTAATGGCACAAAGTGAAGTGTTTGAAGTGAGGCAACCCACGAGGTCTCCCGTGACGAGCGTGCCGACGACAGTGAGCGGCGCCTCCAGCTCGAAGTAGTGCAGCCAGGAGTCCACGGCGGCGTCGGAGCACAGCGGCGCGCGGGAGAAGTCCGGCATCACGTGGAAGTAGCCGCGGCCCGCGCGCAGCACGAACGCGCCGCCCAGACCTGCGCACCACCACACTCTACTGCGTGCACCTCATCAAGAGATCTTTTTCTTACTGGTGGAAGGACCTCTTGTGAATTCGCACGGGTTCGTACGGTAGGTACCACCACCCTGTCTATTTCTGCCGTGAAATAGCAATGCGCTTCGGTTTGAAGGGTGGGGTAGCCGTTGTAACTATACTGAGACCTTATAACTTATATCTCAAGGTGAGTGGCGCATTTACGTTGTAGATGTCTGTGAGCTCTAGTAACCACTTAACACCAGGTGGGTTGTGAGCTCGTCCATCCATCTAAGCAATAAAAAAAAAACACCTTGTTGTAATGTCACTTTTTTTGTAATTTTTGGGAAGGAATAGATTATGTCCATTGACTGAGCCCACAGCCTATCTAGCGCCGCCGCCGCCTGCCCGCAGACTGGGGGCGGAGTCTCAATTGTATGCATGCAGAGTGTCTTACCCCGATTAAATAATAAAGGATGTCTGTCCAGACGTGCAGCCCCCGCCGGCTACACTAACACTTACCCACAACTTTGTCTCCGTAGTGAGTCTTCAATGTCTCTCTGATGGACGTGATAAAGTTGGACTTGCCCGTGCGGTTCTTCGCGACCACTTTAATTACCTGGTCATTGTCATCGCTCATTAATACACATTACATTACAACATACACATTAACAGTGAATTGACGCTGTACGTATGTATATAATGGGAAGATTCTCCAAATGGTTGAACAATAATCAAAGACATCTATCTATGCGGTTTCTGTACAATATTAAGAAAACAAAATTTAAAACCTTTATTTTCCACAAATTATAGTTTTGCACAGTATTATTGAATTAAGTAAAACTGTACTCTTTTTTTTTTCTCAATGACAGAGTTCACTCAATCTATACCTATAAGAAAAATCTCTTTTTTTTTTTTAAACTAAAAAATTTCAAAGTTTTTACATAAAAATTACATAAATAATATTTTCTTTACATATACCTATAAGAAAAATCTCTTTTTTTTTTAAACTAAAATTTTTCAAAGTTTTTACATAAAAATTACATAAATAAGATTTTCTTTACATATATGCTAGATCTATGATTGTGATCGCTAATAATGTTCACATTCAGACGAGACAATGTCAGCAGAAACCCGTACAATTTAGTTTAGTATGCTTACGAGATCTAATACCAGTGTTCAGTTCGCAATTACTAACCACGTCCCACGCCCCACGACGTAACTGTAACAAAGCTCACAGCATCCTGAACGTGTCGGATGCCCTCGTACCTTTCCGGGTTTCCCTTCCGTCAGCAGGTAGTTGCCGAGCAACGCAGTCCTGGTCTCGTCGTTGGGCAGCTGTTGCTGGAGGTACCCGCTGCTGCCCTTGGGCGCTCCTACTGGGTGCACCGACACTATTCTGGTGCCTTGGTCAACTGTACCGTTGCGGACACTAAGGTTTACTATACCCTGAAAAACGTCGTAATGTTAAATAGATTTCTGAAATCTTCAGACGTAGGTATACAGGAGTTTACGGTTTACTTGAAACTATTCCTCTCATCACGTTTACCTCCACACGCACGGCCGGGTGTACCTATATAACGTCATTAATTCTCAACGGTTCGACATTGGTACTTCTCTGGTGGTGACATTGGTATGTTGAAATAAACTGAGACATATAAGACCGGTACAAAATATATTTGAATCGACACCGTGAAGTCAGTGGTGTGAACTAGGAGCTGGCCTTCAACAGACGGCATTCCTGATTAGTCCTTGAAAGCGCATTCCGTGTCGTACACAGTAGGTACCTCGCAGTTCACGCCCAGGTACGGCCACGGTCCGGCTCCAGCGCCGGCGAGGAAGGCGGGGTCGCGGTTCAAGTGTTCCAGCAGCTTGGCCAGGTCGTATATCTTGTCGCGTTTGACCTGCGGCACTAAGTACGGCGGGCCCCCGATCTCGACCAGCTTGGCGTCGCCAGTCAATCCTGTTGTTCAATTAATGAAGGCTTAAAGTCGAGGATATGTAATTATTCTAAAGAAGCGAAAATAAATTATTGATACAGCATGGTGTATATGCGCGGATGCCGGGAAAATTGTACTGTAAAGAGAGGTACCTCTTCATTCGAACAGTTTTCGACTTCGAAAGGCCTCTGATACCAATATCCAATCTTCCTTACAACCAATACAAGAAGAATTATTTATATATATGTATATCCAGATAGTTGTACAATTGATATGTATAAGTGGGCAAATAAGTTCACGGCCCATCTGATGCTAGGCGGCGACCAGAGCCCGGGCACTACATTACGCGAACACCGTATCTCACCCTGAAACATGAGACTTCAAGTTTTCATTAAATAGGTAAAATAGCGATCCTAAGAGGCTATTCCAGCTACGCACAGACTGGTAGGTGAGCTCATAGGCTCAACCTGAGAGAATTTGCTGACACTAGCTCCATCAAGAGTAGTGCTTCGCAGAACCTACCACCGGATCGGAATCGCAACCTACTGAGACCCATACAGCGAGAATCTCAGTGAACTGTGTAGGTATATGGGATAATTCGCTCGTCGAACTATTTCGCTAATTCGCTAATCGACGTGTTGGACGAGAAAATTGTGTGTCCGTAAAGGTGAAGCTTAAATTACATAATATAAAACATGTGATATTTTTATTCTTGTTGAGATTGTGATGACACGTCCTCGTATTTTTACGACAATAGATAAAGATAGCTTCATTGTGTAATATATTGTCTTAAAACCAATGATTTTTTATACAACAGATATGTTATCTTCATAGTGACTGACTCTTCAAATCTGATTGCGCCATATATATCTACAAACCTTGACGTGCGCTTGAAACATATCTGCTTCTTTTTACATATAAAATATCATTGCTTAAAACAAATAATTTATAGCTTCGGTTTTCTTATCTAAAGTCCCTTATGTAAAACAAATTTAAATTTGTTTTTTCTTTTCTTTGCAAAGTTAAAGATTGAACGAGAATTTAATAGTTCTAGAAATCGGATGTCGCAGCAGAACTAGGGCCCAGAATGTAGACTACTAACCTGGTGATTTGAGATAGTAAGGAGGTTCAGTGAGGTCTGGACTATCGGCCACTGACACTTCCACAAACTTGAAGTTCGTTGTTAAACCATTCGACAATACTGCAAATAACAATGACGTCGCTATTACTGGTACCTACCACATACCTACACGTACGCTTGACACCAAGCGTTGATGGTCCAATTCTGTCACTTAATGCATAATCCTTGTAAAATGATAGTTTCTGAGCTTTGGAACATTACAGCCCTTGTTGTTTAGTTAAAGTATTATTGTTAAAAGTTATTAACACTGCTTACCATCATTAAGACATTAAAACCATGTAAAATTCTATGAGAAAATATACTTTTTTTTTAAATCATAATTTAAATATGAGCATCAGTAGATAGTCCCTGGTTAGGTTAATGTTTATGACGGTAACCTATAAAAATAAAAGTTAGGCTACATTTTTCTATGCCTACTTAAACATACATTTTCACAGAAACAGCAATGAAACTCACCACTAGCTACTTCGTCCAACGGAGGAGTATATAGTTCCTTCTCCTTGATTGTTACTTTAGTGTAATCTATTGTCGTCATTCTACAAAAGTATAATTAAAACAAAATAAGTATAAGATTATTCAAAATAAAACTGCGCTACATAAAAGTTTAGGTAGGTATATCAAAAACCGAGAAGCATATACAATATTATTACAAAATTTATTTCACAAATATGTAAAAGTTTTGGCGCCATACCTCGATATTAATGTGTACCTACATTAAATTGAAAAATTCAATCAAATTAAAGTCTGTAATAATCGTAACCGGCATTGCAAAACATGAAACTGAGTGCTATTTTCGGCTTCTTATTTAATATTGTTTACATTAAATTGGTAATAATCATCAAATGAGTCAGATTCAATAAAACAAACGAATAATCATATTGATTACAACATATTTAACAAAAAAATATATCTTAAAACGGACAACTCCAAAAATTACTCACTAAAATTTTGAAAAATAACAATATTAAGTATTTATTATCACAACGTGCAGTCTATTACGATTGTAAAATGTAAACTAAAGGAAAACAGGTATAATGAAGCGTTGAACTCACCTTGCAGTCGAGGTCACCAAAGTCGCCATCTGTACCGACGCCGCGTAACCAAACACTAACAATAAACTAAGTGACATTTTGTCACTTGTTTTTATTATGTAATATTGCGGTATTTATAAGAAAAGTTTGTGTTAACACAACCTGCCTATCTCGAACGCAAAGTAAGCTATAGAGACCTATTTGACCCATATTTTGAGTGGTGTAGTGCCCGTCGGTCACAAACTCTCAGAGAAATACCAAGAGCAGAAATCATCGTACAACGTATTGAAGTCGTCGTGGCCTAACGGATAAGACGTCCGGTGCATTCGTGTTGAGCGATGCACCGGTGTTCGAATCCCGCAGGCGGGTACCAATTTTTCTAATGAAATACGTACTCAACTAATGTTCACGATTGATTTCCACGGTGAAGGAATAACATCGTGTAATAAAAATGAAACCCGCAAAATTATAATTTGCGTAATTACTGGTGGTAGGACCTCTTGTGAGTCCGCACGGGTAGGTACCACTGCCCTGCCTATTTCTGCCGTGAAGCAGTAATGCGTTTCGGCTTGAAGGGTGGGGCAGCCGTTGTAACTATAATTGAGACCTTAGAACTTATATCTCAAGGTGGGTGGCGTATTTACGTTGTAGATGTCTATGGGCTCCAGTAACCACTTAACACCAGGTGGGCTGTGAGCTCGTCCACTCATCTAAGCAATAAAAAAAAAAAGGGGCTCCAGCAACCACTTAACACCAGGTGTGCTGTGAGCTCGTCCATCCATCTATTCAATAAAAAATTTAAAAAAACTACTGCGTATCTCAAATCTAACGAGATGATGATGGTGAAGATTTTAACTGTGAATTCTACAAACGGCGGTAACATCTAAAACTGACCTATCATGAAGTTCCGAGATCACTTAGCGTGTCTTCAGAAAATGTAAAAAAAATTATGTACTTGTTTACAACTAAATTCTCAGAAACGCTACAATCGCTAGTCGATGTGTTTATTGTAGAATATCGATAAAGCGTAAAGTTCTAACTACATTATACATCAGGACATGTTTCGTTGTAGGTTTAATGGAGGTGCTAAATATTTACGCGACATTTAAAATTTTTGTGACTCGTTATCATTAAAACGTATTCAACTCATTCAACTCATTATTACTTATTCAAAAATATGTGCTCGGTTTCAAGAACAAAAGTGTTCAATTCATCATTATCAAAATGTTAGTCCTAAAAATATTAAAGACACAATCTAACACCGAAGAACAAATATCCAAAACACTTTACCTTGTACGTGCGTTTGTATAACTTTACACTGTCCGACTGTTGAAGTATTGGTGACCTCTCATTGACCTGCGTCCCACCGACTGCGGTACGAATGATGCTGCGGGTGCGATGGAGAAGCGAATGCTATATGTAGCACTCACATATAGGATAGTCTTTATCAATATATTGTTCGAACCAAATGATTGTGCAGTTTGTCCGCACGACCCTCTGCTGTGATAATGATAACAACTCCAATACTCTTTATTTATATGATTATTTATATGATAAAAATGACATTATGCAAATACGCGACGCCTTGCTGATGGCGGTATACGAACTGACTCGAAAATTAATGACTTTGATGTAAAATACATCGGTGTGCAATATGATGTGCGCGCTGGCCCTGTGCGTCTCGGTATCTAGTTTTTGTGCTAAAAGATGTACAATCAAAGGGCTCCAAGACTCCACGTTTACACCTAGGTTTTTTATAGCGTTGAGGCTTTCTAATGTTGTTATGGTTAATCGATGGTTGTTCTCCTGTTGGTATGCTCATTAGAATGTCGACGTGAGCGCTGAATATCAGTCTTTGATTATTAAATCTGTGGTTCAATATATCCCAGCATATTATATAATTATCGGAGCTTATTGGTAAATGGTTGAATCAATTTCTCTGCTTCACCTTTAACCTTTGTTTTAAGGAACTGCATCTTCGGAGCATTATTGATAATAATTTTAAATAATTTCAGTTGGGATTATTTTTGGTTCGAGTGATTTCTTGGTGGGTGCTGGTACAGAGTTAATTGAATTAACTACAACTATAAAAATTATGTACACTTTATAAACATAAAACACGAAACAATATCTCCGTTAAGAGAGTTCTACTTGGTGTAGAGCCTGGGCTTGACGGCAAGCCACGCATAGAGTATTGATTCAAATACAGAGCATGGAATTTACCTCGTGACCTGGACCTTGAATCAATCCGAAAACACATGAAGTCAGCGTCGGAACGTTACTTCGATAAAGCTATGCGTCATGATACTCTGCCGCTGACTACTCCCCGAATCCAGATAACGCAGTAGCCAGTCACCGTCGACGCCCTAGACACCTTACGGATCCATCGGATCCAATAACTTTTGCATTAGATGCCTTCAGCTCTAAGACTAGGAGCAGGCTTACGGACCCCGGTAACCCTGCTCGTCCAACTTGGCAAAGAGTTTGACGTGCAACTTAGCCCATACGACCACCTGCTGAGTTTCTCGCCGGATCTTGACAGCGGGTCGCGATTGCGATCCAGTAGTAGATTCATTCGCGAAGCAGTTAAGTTGTTAGTTCTTCTTTGGAGGCGCTCGGGTAGCTATTTGCAAATTCCATCCCTCCTGACTGAGCCTTTGCTCGCCCACCTGTCCTGATGAAAGCGGAAAGGACTTCGGGGCACCATTAATCCCAAATGCATAAAAAAGCATGGAATTCTCAATAAAAATCGTTACATAAAGTTTTCCATAATTTTATTGCTTCAAATCACAAGTTACAAAATTAATTCAAACTCTCGCAACGAACTTCAGACATCAATAAATTACCAGCATCCGCAGACTAACATACATTGATATACTTTTACACACATTACAGGGGTGTCTTTGATCTCACTGCGTAATGAACTGAGTACAACTTAGGCCCACGATTGTGAAACATTTGGCAACAGACATAATTAACAAGACGGATCTTTAGAAAGGCTGGGCTGAGAGAAAGATTTATTATACAGATAGTTAAATATAATCCGTATCTTGATAAGGTGATTTAGACGGATTAAACTTTTGAAATATAAGCTTTTAGTTTTTAATCTAGATCGACCGCCCGTATGGGGCAGACCTGTGGCAGGCGTGGGGCGCTGTGGGGTGGAGACACGTACAGTAGCTTTCTTTTACGACTTAGTCAACTGTATTCTAACAATGATGCTGATCTCCGCGAGCGCACCGGCCGCGGGACTCCGGGTCCGTACGCGCCCAGGACTGCTATTGCCCCGATGTACCATTCAATATTACATTGAGTTTTAAATTACACAAAATATATTATTTTTCTAATATTATACGTATCTTGCAAAATTTCTTTGTATCACAGACTAATGTTCATATATGAATACAATTAATCTAGCAATTACAGCTCTTTGAGTGATCACCCACAGATTGACTGAAGATAAATGTACATACTATTGTAATCTGGGAGAACATTTCGCTGAGTCATAGGGGAGTGGGGGGGCGCGGCAGCTGCCTCTACTTTTGCACGTCGTGTTGGAGCGGGGGCAGTTCAGCTCAGATCAACTCGCGGGTTCGCCGCGCCGCGGGGGCGGGGGCCGCGGGGGGCGGGGGGCGCGTCCTAGTATGTACTTAGGAATAGGAAATACATTAATTCAGCGACTTCACGTAATGCAATTGTTCTTCGGTAACGTTTTGTGAATGAAATCGCCAGTCGCGGTTTTCAGGATGAGCTTTTTATAGAAGTTAGATAATGAAAAAAGTTAAATGTACAAATATTTAGTTACAATTAAACAGGTCAAATATATTATTATTATTACGAATATATTACGAATTAACGATTGCCTAAGATAAATAATATTTGGTCCTCGGAGCTACAGGTAATGTATTTTCACTAAATTAAATATAAATATTAGTCGAAATGTCATTTAATGTTATGATGTAGTCGTTTAATGGTTCCCGGGCGCGCAGAGTGCGGGCTCGGGCGGCAGCAGCGTGTGCGCCCGCTCGTGGTAGAGCTGCGCGGCGTACAGCGCGTGCGTGCGCAGCCAGCGCGCCAGCGCCGCCGAGTCGCACTGCACGCGCGGCCGCCGCACGCCCGCCTCGCCGCCGCGCACGCCCAGCTCCACCAGCTGCGCGCCGCCGGCCTCCACCACCGCGCACGACACCAGGTTGCTGCACAGAGCCCCCGTCACACACTCGCCGGTCTCAGATGTCCCTGCTCATTGAACCGAAATAGAAATGAATACCTGAGGTGCGTCTCCATGACGACCTGCGGCGCAGAGTGCTTGCAGGTGAAGATGCGCAGGTAGGAGTCCGAGAGCAGCGCGCGGATGTCGTGCGGCGTGTCCCGGACGATGCGGTAGGCCAGGAAGCGCTCGGAGTAGTCGTTGTTGTTGAGCGCGTACAGCAGCGCCGCGCCGTGGGCCTGCGCCCCGCAGTAGCGCGGCAGGGCGGAGCCCGCGCCCCACGCGCACCGCGGCCCGCGCACCCGCGCCGGCACCCACTTGTCCGACCTGCGACCACGACTCGGTCAACCGACGCTGCGTGACGTCCCCCGTGCCGTGTGTAGCCTAGGGGAGGGGCGGGCAGACGCACGTACTGACGTCCCCCGTGCCGTGTGTAGACTAGGGGAGGGGCGGGCGGACGCACGTACTGACGTCCCCCGTGCCGTGTGTAGGCTAGGGGAGGGGCGGGCGGACGCACGTACTGACGTCCCCCGTGCCGTGTGTAGCCTAGGGGAGGGGCGGGCGGACGCACGTACTGACGTCCCCCGTGCCGTGTGTAGCCTAGGGGAGGGGCGGGCAGACGCACGTACTGACGTCCCCCGTGCCGTGTGTAGACTAGGGGAGGGGCGGGCGGACGCACGTACTGACGTCCCCCGTGCCGTGTGTAGCCTAGGGGAGGGGCGGGCAGACGCACGTACTGACGTCCCCCGTGCCGTGTGTAGACTAGGGGAGGGGCGGGCAGACGCACGTACCTTCGACTGGTGTCCCTGAGTGCCGAAGCCGTCTCAGCAGCGAGGTCGAGGACGCCGATGACAGGCTTGGTGACGGTCCCCACCAGCCCCTTCCCCACCCCCGTCAGGAACCCTCCCAGCCCCTCCTGCGTCGCGCCTTCGTAGCTGTGTTTCACCAGTGACGTCATACCCCCTGCAAATATATTTTAATTTTGATTATTATAGATTAAAACACGTTTTCAAAGTACAGACATAAATAACTTCTAAGATATCATTGAAAGTACAAATATGCCTGGAGCGGCGCCTGACTCGTTTAGCACAGCAAGCCAGCCAACACATGATACCTGAACATTCACTACCACCGGCACCGCGCACTGACACCATTCAACAATATTCCTAAGATATCTCACAAAATACATTATTGGGACAAGATTCTTCCTCTTCGAAAAAATCAGATTCATACATTCATCGACGTGCAATCGCGACTACAACAATGTAAATTATAATTAAAGCAAGTAGCAAGAAATCAATTGGTTTTATTATAAATGCAATAAAGCCACAGTGTCTCGCGTAGACAATGCCTTTTTCTATTTTTATCTTTATTTTGTGCATTTTATAAATAAATAAGAAACTTCATGTCTCTATCTCCATCTCTTTCTCTCGTTCAGAGTTGCACGCGCACTTTATTTTATTAAAGAGGTAGAAGTTGCGCCCGTACCGAGTATGCCGAGCCCGAGTCCCCTGAGTCCGGCGGCGAGGTGATGTCCATGGGCAGCACTGCGGATCCGGCGCCGCGTCTCCTCGTGCGCCTCGTCCCACACCACGCGCTCCAGCCCGTCGCCCAGGGATTCTGGACGCAAATGTTTATTTTAAAATCTGTTTTAAAGATTTGTGAGTGTTTGTGGTAGTTGAGGTTGATTTTGCGACTATCTAGAGTCGGCACGTTTGTCGTCGAATAGCTGAGGACCGCACAGAGAGACAGTAAGCAAGAGTACCCGACACTTTGGCGGCGGAGTTTGAGATCCCGTGCGTGACGTTCTTGAGGAGGGCGCCCACGTTCCCCTCCAGCAGCAGGCCCGTCACGCCCTCCGACACGTCCGCCACGAAGCCCAGGGGGTTGCCCAAGAAGTCCACAGACCCTAATATCTTGGCGGCTTGCCATTTTAATTCCTGTAGGGAGACGAGTAAAATGAATTTGTGCTGCGCAATATGTGATCGCCCTCGCCTCCAGCTACTACCCTCTGCGCGTGTAGCATGCGACTGTGTTTTTTTTTATTGCTCTTGTAGGCAGACGAGCATGCGGCCCACCTGATCTTGAGTGGTTACCGTCGCTCATGGACTTCAACAATGCCAGGGGCAGAGCCAAGCCGCTGCCTACCGCTTAATACTCTCCACAAGCCTCGTTTGAAGAAGGACATGTCATAGCGCTCGGGAAACACCGTGGAGGGGAGCTCATTCCATAGCCGGATGGTACGTGGCAAAAAAGATCTCTGTAAACGCACTGTGGATGACCGCAGTGGCTCCAGGTAGTATGGATGAACTCGACTCCGGTGGCGGGCGGTGCGATGGTAAAAACGAGATGCCAGTATCATCCCGAATTTTTTTATTTTATTGCTTAGGTAGGTAGACGAGCTCACAGCCCACCTGGTGTTAAGTGGTTACTGGAGCCCATAGACATCTACAACGTAAATGCGCCACTCACCTTGAGATATCAGTTCTAAGGTCTCAGTATAGTTACAACGGCTGCACCACCCTTCAAACCGAAACGCATTACTGCTACACGGCAGAAATAAGCAGGATGGTGGTACCTACCTACCTACTAAATTATTATATTTTAAATTTAATTCCTCAGAGCACTTCCCATGGAACATACGGTACAAAAAAATACAGAGGGAACCGAAGTCCCTCCGCAGACCCGATCCGTGAGAATGGGATTATCGACAATACTACTAATAAGAAGAGTGACTCACGTCTTTAAAATGAGCCAGCATTTGCCTGCCGAGGTAGGACGCGGTTTCGAACACGTGCACTCGTTCGAAGGGCTCCAGCTCCACGGCCGCGTCCTCGAACTTGATGAGGGTGAGGCCCAGCCGCCGCTTCAGCGAGCCCAGCGAACTGTCCAGCTTGTTCGCCGTGCACATCGACAGCCGGATCTGTGCCAACCGCGCCATCACTTCACGCTCTCGTCTGCACTTACTCAACATTATACTACAGTGTGCGTGGTGTCGCCCTGGGTGACCGTAAAGGTAGCCCTACATAAACATCATTTAATTAACAATGGACTGGTACTTAGGGACCATCGCGAATTGTGTCTGTGCACTCGTAGCGTGAGCTCTTGAGGTGCTTTGGTCGTGGAATGAAAGCGTGTTATAGAGTACTGTGTTTCTGTGTGTATGTGTTAGGGGTAGCTGCCCCTGGTCGCGCGGGTGCGTCGGTGCGAGACCTGGCTGGGTATAATCTTGAGTAGGCCGAAGTAGTATCTGGTGGCGGAGAGCGCGGTGAGGCTGTGCAGCATGCGGCGCGTCTCGTAGTCCGCCTCGTCCACCTGCTCCTGCGCGCTGTCCTCGTCCTCCTCGCGCCACCACGACCACAGCACCAGGATCAACCTGCCGCACAACGGAATAGCGGGTCACTGCACACTCGCGACCCCACCGCCAGGGTCACCAGTCTGCGGGACCGATCACAATAAAATATGTCTAATGATTTTTGCGGTGCATAACAATTAATTTAAAACAGATTAATGCTTGAGGCGACCGTCCCGCCGCGCACCTAGCCACAGAGACGGTAAGTGTTCATTCACAGCAGCTACGTTAAGATATTAAACATCGCTATTTCCGACCTCACGAGCGTCAGCCTCATCCAGCGGAGATCTGATTTCGAATATAAATATATATTGAGGATTTGTAGCGCACTGTGCAGAGCGTCTGGGTGCGGGAGAGTACACTCTCGGAGCGAACATAGAGTCCCAGGGGGGGACACTCAGGGGACCAGAGGGGGACGGACAGGTTTACCTACTCAAACTTAATTAATTAATCATTCAAAATGTAAGAATAAACTAATAATAGAAATTTGTAAGAAAACATTTTGAACGTGAAGTTAATCATTTAAACATACCTTTCCTCCAATCTGACCGCCAGAGGTTTGAGCGCGACAACCAAGTGCCTGAAGAAGTACGCGTTGTATTTGTCGGAGGGAGATCGCTGGAGTTCCACCGACGCATGGAGGGCTGGGGCGTTGGCGCCGCTGCGGTCCGGGAGGCAGTACAGCAGCACAGGGCTTGGGGTGCCCAGTAACTAAAAAAAATAAAAATAAAAATAGTGACCGCATTTTTGTGAGCCGCGTGTAAGATTGTCAACTAATAACTGCCGCTAGCTACAGCAGAATTAGTATTATTATTTAATAAAGTAACGCTGGAGGTGCACCTGGTTGTCCCACTGCATGTCCTGCAGGGTGAGCGCCAGGCTGGCGGCGGAGGGCGTGAGGCAGGCCCGCGCCCGCAGCGACACCGCGTGCGCCGCCACCAGCTCCTCGCCGCCCCCCACCAGCGACACCGACACGCCCCCCGCCGACACCCACACCTCCCACTCGCGGCCCCCGCCGCCCCCGCCGCGCTCTCCGTCGCCCTCCACCCAGCCCGAGTCCTGGACGTAATATATAACCCAATATGGATTGTCAGGTTCGATTAAATTATAATTCTGGTTGGATCAGTAGAATAAAGAGATCCAAAAGCAGATATAATTACGGGCGCCTGTTGGTCGCGTATCTGTATGAGTCGCGTGGGTCCGTCGGCCTGCAGCGTGAGGAGCAGCTTGCCGCTGCCGGGCCGCAGGGTGTGCCAGCTGACCTGCTGCTCCGGCCGCACGCTCGCCCCCGCCATCCCCAGCACCACGCGACTGCCTGTGACAACATGATTCGAATCTCATTCCCGGAGATCGGCTCGGTAAGAAGTGGCCCTTGCTGCCAGTCGATCCACTCGTAACAATGTAATATATATACACTTGCTATTTAAAGAGGTAATGGTTAAATGTGTAAGATGCTAGGGAGGTGCGGACGGACCTGGCGCGAGCCCCATGAGCGAGGGCGGGTCGGGCTGCACGCACAGGTTGCGGTGCGCACAGCACAGACGCGCCGCACGCAGCTGCCACGCCTGCGTGCTGGCCCGCCGCGCGTCCGCCCGCCGCAGCACCAGCGCCGCCGCGCGCCCCGGCCGCGGAGCCGCGTCCTCGATGTCCAGCACCTGCACCCGCCACGCATCACTCACTTTAACTAATTATTATTCATTTCGACAAACATATAAGTTACTTGAATAATTGTAGCGGCAATTATCGTAGAATGTAAGAAATCTGGCAATAGCTCGAATCTTACTAACGGCTTATTCTAAAAAGATATAAATATAATATAGCAAACCATAGCGTGAGGCGAGAGTGGCGCATCTTCTGAGAGCTGAGAGTCGGTGGGCTGGGGAGGGGAGCTGCCCTCGTGGATCAGCTGGTCGTTGGGTCCGCGTCTCCACAGCTGTGACCTGGATACAACGGTCTGTTATGTGCACCAGTCCCCACAATTACTGACTCGACCTGATGGCACTCGGCTACTTTATCTGAGTCAGGGCTAATATTTCATTGTACTAACTACCATCTCCGCTTCTCCCGCTCTTCACCGTGCGCCGTGCCCGCTAAACACTAGATGGACCGTGAGCTTGCCATCCACATTAAAAATAATTATAATTAGTTTTATCTGACCTGTCCCCATATCGTTTTCTTCCAAGCTGAACTCGTGTGGAGCCGAGTGGAACTTCCAGCACCAGCACGTTGTCATCGGCGTCGGCCGGCGGAGCCTGCTTCCCGGTATTAGATGGGTTGGAGTCTCTGTTAATGACATATTAATACTAATCCACCTCTGCCACTATTCTTGAGACTATAGCTAAAATATAGGGCGTTAGGAAAAATCGACTCGCGCGTCATCTGGTGTCTGCTGACGGTACTATGGGACAAACTTTCACGTCCGTAGCCAACAAATGCACAAATGTCTTCGATCAACAATAGTAACTAGATAAAGGGATACGTACAAAATTAAAGCAAAAACTGTCCGCGTGAATTTATACTTATATAGCTACATTCGTTTACTAACAAACGGAGAAAAAAGTTTTGAAACACTTTTACGTTCAAACTAATAACAACTATGGCACCTAGTAATAAAGTCACAAATCTCCAAAACATTATCTAATACTTACGATCATTCGTCACATAAAACGAGCAAAGCAATAAATTACTCCTGTCACTTACAAATAAAAAGACATATTTTAAACAACTTTTAATGTTAAATCAATCTTAAAAGCAACAAATAAAGTAACTTTNACTTTAACTAATTATTATTCATTTCGACAAACATATAAGTTACTTGAATAATTGTAGCGGCAATTATCGTAGAATGTAAGAAATCTGGCAATAGCTCGAATCTTACTAACGGCTTATTCTAAAAAGATATAAATATAATATAGCAAACCATAGCGTGAGGCGAGAGTGGCGCATCTTCTGAGAGCTGAGAGTCGGTGGGCTGGGGAGGGGAGCTGCCCTCGTGGATCAGCTGGTCGTTGGGTCCGCGTCTCCACAGCTGTGACCTGGATACAACGGTCTGTTATGTGCACCAGTCCCCACAATTACTGACTCGACCTGATGGCACTCGGCTACTTTATCTGAGTCAGGGCTAATATTTCATTGTACTAACTACCATCTCCGCTTCTCCCGCTCTTCACCGTGCGCCGTGCCCGCTAAACACTAGATGGACCGTGAGCTTGCCATCCACATTAAAAATAATTATAATTAGTTTTATCTGACCTGTCCCCATATCGTTTTCTTCCAAGCTGAACTCGTGTGGAGCCGAGTGGAACTTCCAGCACCAGCACGTTGTCATCGGCGTCGGCCGGCGGAGCCTGCTTCCCGGTATTAGATGGGTTGGAGTCTCTGTTAATGACATATTAATACTAATCCACCTCTGCCACTATTCTTGAGACTATAGCTAAAATATAGGGCGTTAGGAAAAATCGACTCGCGCGTCATCTGGTGTCTGCTGACGGTACTACGGGACAAACTTTCACGTCCGTAGCCAACAAATGCACAAATGTTGAAGTGAATGGACAAGTACTGAAGATGCATACAAAGATCACTCCAACTTCGAGATTTCCTCCGTCCAAACAAGAGGGTGCTGTGAACGTTATATTACCTGGCGGTCGCCTGGAAGACGACGTAGATGAAGTTCTGATAGAGCAGCGTGTGCGTGGCCGGCAGCACGTCCAGCGGCAGGTGTCGGGGCGGCCCGCCCGGCGCCCGCAGCGCCAGCACGCGCGCGCCCTCCGCCGCCGGCAGCGCGCACACCTCGCGCCCGTGCGCACGCACCGCGCTCTCCTCCGCGCACCCCACCTGCGCGCGCGCCCGCCGCCCAATGTACAGTTTGACAAATAAACGGATTAAATCTATTATAAAAAAAAAATGATCATGAATATCCATAGCTCCAGTTGGTCCGGTAGTCGAAATACCAAATCATCTGCAGATCACACTTTGCAATCACACCTCCACCCCCCGCACCCGAGGGGGTCGTTAGTACCTGGTGGTATATGATGGAGACAGGCGAGTAGTTGTCGATGCGCAGCGGGGGCGGCGCACACTCCGCGTCCGTGAGCACCACGAACAGCGTCGCGCCCTGCAGCACCACCTCCACCCGCACTAGCTGGTACGAACCGTCCGGCTCCCTGCACACAAACCCTTACAATATTTGATCTGAGTTAGTCACGACTATCGGGAAAGCAATGCAAGGGGGAGCTCGATCCAGATATTTTTTAATCTTGGTTTGGCGGCTTGCACCACCATCTAACGTTGTGCTGGGCTTGGACGTTGTGCGCGTTTATATCAGCAGTTGGTCTTTTTGGCAAAGTTTTCTAGGTTACGGGACGTGTATGGAGAGTTATATAGTTATGGAGGATGATACCTCATACCTTGAATACCCCGGCTACGTATTGGAGCACAACTTCCTGCGTAAAGCCGGGGTGTGCGTATTCGTCCGGGCTGATGTCTGTTGTCGCCGTCTTCGGGGCCTCGAACAACGGGACCTGTCCCTCTTGTGGCTGCGCGTGGACCACGGGGGCCATAGCCGAATCTACGCGTGCCTGTACAGGTCCCACAGCAGTGATGCAGGTTCAGCTCTGTTTGAGCATGTGCAAGAGGGGACTAACCGCGTGCTTGAGCAGTACCCNGTGATAAGTTCGTAAAGAACTTGTGTTACAGGTACCAGATAACGGAAATAAATGTAAGATTTTTATTATACACATACATATATTTAATAGACATCCATAACCCTGGAAAAGACATTTATATTTATCATACAAATATCTTCCCTTGGCGGGATTCGAACCCGCGACCCCCTTGTGTAGTGACCATGTCACTTACCACTACACCAGACGGCCGTTAAAGGTCAAGGCTTTTTGGACGTCACTCGAGGGTCAAGGTTTGAAACCTGAATATATTGTACTGTGGGCTGGCGAGCACGCACCAGGGTGGTGGCGGCGCAGGCCTGCGCGAACTGCAGCGTGCGCGTGGTGTTGTTGTGCAGCTGGTAGCGCGGCGCCAGCGTGACGATGTTGGTGCGGCGGTAGCGGCCGCGGCCCGCGCGCACGGACACGCCCACCGCGTACACCCGCTCCCCGCCCCCGCCCTCGCCCTCCCCGCGCACCTCCAGCCGCTTCACGCTCACGCCGGGGCCCAGCCCGAACGGTGAGCACCACTGTGTAATGCGTCACTTCAAAATTAGTACTGAATGGATTTACCGAATAATCATTTCATTTATTTACGTATCAATCTTCCCGATGTTAGTGAGGCTCTGTAACATTTGGTTCCTCAACTAAATCACCCTTAAGAATCATTCCATGTCAAGCAGCAGCTTTGATGCCCCTGGCATTGTCATTAACTAGGAGAGCCGGTGGTCAAATTAGATTATTTACAAAATGGAATCCATTCAATATTTTAAATAGTTCCAATATATATTTTAAGATTTAAATGGCCTCACCTCCGGATTCCCAGGGAGTCCACGACCCAGCCTCGCACAGAGCGTGGGCCTGGCATCAGGCTCGGCAAAGGAGAAGAGCAGAGGCGCCACGACCCGCGCCAACTCGTGCTCCGCGAACTGTCCTGCCGCGTCTGCCGCACTGCCCTCAGCGCGGTACACGAGCGGCAGACCGGTGCGGTTCACCAGCCAGTACGCGGCCGACACAGACACCTGCGGGCGCGGCACACCACTACTCCTGAGCTCACACACAGCACAGTCGGACGCACCGGACTAGATACTTCCATTAGGTAAGGAGAGTTAGGAAGCGATAGTGGTCAGTGTCACGCGGCAGAGCACTCATTCTATGATACTTCCAATTGTGTGCTTAGTACCGGAGAGTCTCCCATGCTAAGGTTCAGCTTGTTATACCATTACAGCAAGCGACAATCCCTGACGCGCGCTAAACAGTAACCACAAGAGTTGAGCCAAAAGCTCGTCTGCTGTAGAGGCGACCATTACACTTTCTGGTAATGCTCATCGTCGATAAGAAGCGAACAGTCGACGCACTTACTTTCATCCCATCAGTCTTCTTGACGGTGACCCGAGCGTTAAGGTAGAGTCGCCGAGAACGGGTGTCCCTGAGCTTGATCTTGGCGCTGAAGGAGGCCGGTGTTCCCGCGGCACCCCCGGCACCCCCCGGACCCCCCACCACGACGGAAGTGGACCAACCGAACCCTTCCAGTTTGATGCTCAGTTCTACGCCTTCTTCAACGTTGACCTAGATATTGATTGGAACATATTATACAATGTTTTCTTGTTTATGGAAATTCTGTTGGCGTCATAAAAAAATACATGTGGGGTCTTTAAGCACGGTCAAGGCATATTGTACACTTATATAATTTAAAGGCATGTTTAAGGCGTCATCTATAAACGTAGGCACCTGTCGTTAAGATTCACACATTGAAGGTTCACCTGATGGAATGGCTTGNTAGATATTGATTGGAACATATTATACAATGTTTTCTTGTTTATGGAAATTCTGTTGGCGTCATAAAAAAATACATGTGGGGTCTTTAAGCACGGTCAAGGCATATTGTACACTTATATAATTTAAAGGCATGTTTAAGGCGTCATCTATAAACGTAGGCACCTGTCGTTAAGATTCACACATTGAAGGTTCACCTGATGGAATGGCTTGGTGTCTCCGGGCGCGACGGAGCCGTGCACGACGAGGCCCGCTTTGTTAACAGACCGATACTGCAGCTCCAGAGGCAGCAGGTTCTCCAGGCGCAGCGCTGGGACCAGGGTCAGCGTGTGGCCCGCGATGGGAGGGCCGCGGTCCGGTGGGAACCGCTCCCGTATCATCACACAGCAAAACCTGAATCATTATAGAACAGAACCTAAGCATATTTAATACTCAAGCCGTGCCACTATTATCTTATTTTTAGTCGTTATACAAATTAATAGTTAAACAGTTGTTGATTGTGTTATTCTTTACTTTATAAATAAAGTTAAAACATTATTTTTTTCTCCTATCTACGCCGAAAGTTCGGTTTTCGTCCCGCTATACAGGGAAGAAAGTGTAACTTTTCCTCCCTGGGTACTGACAAGTGCGCATGCGCGTTAGTGTCTACGTCTGCTCTCACGCACCTAAAATTCTCCGCCATTGTTGTGTTCGGGTAATTTGCAATATTGGGTTTAGTGTAAAAGTGAAATAAAAACAAAAGGCAATAAAATTTAATAATGAAGTATTAAACAATGATGAGTTCATCAGACAGTTCTTATTTAATTAGTAGTAGTTTATTTAAAAATTAAAAAACAGTTAAATTGTTTTTTTATGAGTAGGGAGGGCTCCGCTCCCCTACCCCCGCCAGGGCTTTTCCCCGGGACCCCACCGGGGCTTCGCCCCTGGTCCGCCGCTCGATACTCCACGAACTTTCGGCCTGGTAGGAGAAAAAATAGTATGTGCTCCGCGGGAAAAAAGTTGGACATTTCCTCCCACGTGTTTGTCAATTTTTGCAATTTTACACGCGCTTGGTGCACAATTTACTATTACACAAATATTATTTAAAAGTATCACTGGTATAAAATACTTTTGATTTCCATTTCTTAAAGTTTATGTTTTTTTGAATAACATGTGTTTGATGAAGTTTACTGCAAAGCTCACCTGTAGACGTGATCGGGCGGCGCGGTGCAGGAGTAGTGCAATAAGGGCTTGGAAGGCGAGGCGTCCTTCCAGTGTATGGCGGTGGGAGAGTAGGGGTGCGCGGGCGTCGGGGCGGGGGGCAGGGGACGCGTCCACAGCGCGCCCCCCTCCGCCTCCAGCGGCGCCGCCCACGAGTCCCCCGGCGACACCCGGGCGCTGCGCACGCCACCCCCCACCCACTGCGCTACACACGCAACACACAAATGGACTTTATAGTTTAAATATATATATGTATGACGCCTTGCGGTGGCGATCGTGTCATGTGACCGCGTACACGCGAATTGTCACTTTAATCGTAATCACGAATAATTACTATTAATATTTGTTATAATACCTATATGTAATTTATAAAATTATGTATGTATATACATACAAGATTCAACTGTAAAATTGTAGGTACTAACTTACATATCTAAATAATTATTTTTAAAATATTACCAAATATTCGAACAACCTCCTACATTGTCAACTGTTCAGAGCACACACCAAAGCAAACATGTTTCTGAATTATTAATTCGTATTGTTAGTTCGCGTGGCGGCGGACACGGCGTCAAATCCATTACGAAATCACTCCAAGCGTTGCATAACAAAATCACCCGATGATGATACGATCGTCAAACGTAACGTGCGGGGAGGTTGCAAGTTAATGTTTCTACATGTGGCACGCGGCCATCCTCCACCTGAGCTCTGTCATACTACTAACGTGCGATCGTATTAGTCAAATAAATATTAATTTTTAGTTAACTTGTCGAAGGTCTATACTTTATAAATTCTAGTGAATACCAGTGGCTGTGATAACAAAGTGGGGGTCTGTAATCAGCGGGACAGTTTCATTTACAATAGGACTGCAGATAAGAGACAGATGAGTGATGCGAGGCGTGAGTACCGCGAGCTGAGAGCGCGGGGCGCAGGGCGAGGGGCGGCGCGCGGGGGGGCGCGCGGGGGGGCAGGCGGGGCCGCTGCAGCGCCGCGCACCACGCCCGCACCGCGCCCGCAGTGTCGCCCTCCTCTGCACCACGTGTCACTACTTACTGGACCGCGCTGAGCCTCGGGCGCTCATCTCGGTTACTCAAACATACCCACTTACTAACGGTTGACCTAAGTTGACGTTGACGGTAAATTCCCACATTTAACATTTACTTTTTCGATTATTCGAATCATTTGTGCATTGGTAGGACGACGTCGCGGGCACCGAGCTCACTGCGCAGTAAGTGTACACGGACAATTAGCTTGAATTTTGAGCTAAATATCCCTATCCTTTTTTAATATATAGATGGATAGATAGATATAATAAATATTTAAATTGTAATTATTTACGATGTCTACTGTGTCTCTAAATATATAAATAAAATGGATCCTATATATTTATTTAATAAAAAATAGGTAAACAATTACCAGTGGAGGGCGCGTGGTCCATCCTGACTTCGACTGGGTGAGGCAGTTTGTTCACCAGCTGCAGCGCCGAGCGCACCGTCACCAGCTTCCTGGCTGATCCTTCTAACGACACTTCGAACACGATGCGAGCCTCTGCGCCGGTTTTCTGAAAGAGTGGTTGCACTTCAGGTGGGAGGAAGGGCGACCTCTGCTCACTTTGAGAGCTTCTTGCAGAACGGCTCGCCAGGGACATGGTGGTAGGCGATGTAGTACAGAGGCCGCAACGGAATGTTTCTGATACAAGACGAGCGAGAGTATCGTTTGTAGGCACCGTGGTGCAGTGCGGTACCGTGTGCGTGAGGGTCCGGAAGTAGAGGCCGACGCGGTCCACGCAGACGGGGTCGGGGGGGTCCCAGCCGTCCAGCCGCAGCAGCACGGTCCAGCGGTGCAGCGCCGCCACGGGCCGCCGCCGCGCCCGCCGCCCGCCGAACGAGAACGGCTCCGTGTGCTGCGCCCGCACCAACATCCACGTGTCGTCCGGCCCGCACCCGTCGCCGCGGCCCGTGGGCCTCATCCTGCCGAGCGCGCCACGCAATATTTAGCACAAGTATGATATGGCTATGACAAGAAGAGATCTGCAGCAGTGCGGAGGTGTCGCGTGACTCACTCGTCCACGGTGGTCAGCAGCGTCGTGAACCACAGCTTGTGACCGGTGTGGTTCCGTAGAGCGTAGGGCACGAACGGTGACCGTCGCCTGTGGCCGGCCGGGCTGCTTTTCGGTGACTGCTCCGTCGCTCCGGACTGCGTACGACAGACAACATACAGAAACCGTTCATTCTGACATTCGATGCGACTAGCTCAGGCGGAGCGCAGTACTTGTGCGTGCGGCGCGTAGTAGTCGGCGGTCCAGTTGGCCCGTACGAGCATCAGCAGCTCGACCAGCGCTGACGTCACGTTCAAGTTGAGCGTCTCCGCTGACGTCACGTGCACCTGGGCCCGGGACAGGGACAGTTCGCTCGTCAAACTCGTCTCCCATCGACTCTCGAACCTGAAGAGAAACCAGAGAGCTTGAAGATAAATATCCAGGTTGGGAAACAACAGGTATGATACCGTCGTCCGCTGAGTTGAGTTAATGTTTTAATTGCACTGGAAACAATATGGACGGGAACAGACTGGACTACGGTATCGACTCTTTGACTGACACAGAATGAGAATTATTAGCCTACTACTGCCTACCTAATTATTATTCCCGCAACAGTCAAATAATTGCATCCTCTGAGGATCGCAATATTCTTAATCGCGTTAAAATGTCATGAAGAAAAATCAGAGATATTAGTAGAATTGATAAGGTCCTGACCTCCAAGGTTCGACCATGGGCTCCCAACTGGACAGCGTCCGGTTGTAGTAGTCCACAGCGAGTCCGGCGGCGAGCCTGCCCCCTCCCGCGCCCCCCCGCACCGGGCTGGCCGGGCTCGACACCAGCACCGGGTCCTCCAGCGAGCCGGGCGCCTTGCGGAGATCCTGCACGAGTACCATCGACACTCAGCGACTTGTTTGTGACGACAGCAATGAAACGTTAGTGTAACGCAACGAGGCTGTGGTGTCCCAGCCGACTCGAGCCGCACTGCGCTGCGGTGCGCTTAGAGCACTGACTACATCATTTGTCCCAAAAGTTACCTACGGTCCATCTAGGCCCAGAACTAAACTAAACTAATTAATTAAAGTGTGAGCTTCAGTTGTGTCTATATATTCATACATATAATAAGTGTGCCCCGGGCGCGGCTCGATGCGGTCTGTAACATACAGCCATTACGTTACCGGTCCAGGGGACATGGACAGCTGCACACCTGCTCCACCTGCAGCTCGGAGAGGGACAGTTCCAGGAGGGGCACGTCGGAGTCCAGGCAGTCGTCGATGACGCACAGCGCGACGCAGTCCGCCGTCACCTGCGCAGTCCCGAGCTTTATGTACTCTCTTGCTCTTTACTATACTCTACTACATTCTAATTAAGATTTATATACTCGTAAAGTCTAAGTAAATGAGACCATCAAAAATACAAATCTATCCAAAAAAGTTAGGTAATGCGTGCACAACTATTTAGTTTAATTAATTATTTAGTTATTTTTAGTTATTCCAGCAAGTTGATATTTTGTGAACCCGCAATACAATGCAAAGTGTTCCATTGCGTGCAGTGGTGCAACAAACAACAACACTAAAAATTAAAATCTTTCGATTACTAAATGCTGGGACAGCCGTTGTACTATAGAATTGAGAATTAGAAGAAATGGGACAATGGGTACTTCAAGGTAATAATTAATTGATGTCTATGGACTCTGGTAACCACTGAACACCAGGCGGGCAGAAATCTCATTAATTCGCTTAAGTATTAAAAAAATTTGGAACTCTCAGTATTTTTAAAACCATCAATCGACTTTTAGGTCTTGTTTGTTCTCAATAAGAAGCCGCGTCCGTGCGCCCACCTGCACCGCAGCGAGCGGCCACACGGCGCTGGGCGGGCTCGCGGGGGGTGGGCGCGTGCGGGCCAGCGGGGGGTGCGCGCGGGCGTGCGGGGGGCGCGCGCGGGCGAGCGGCGCGGGCCAGGCGGGCGGCGCGCGCATGTACACGCTGTTCGCGGGGACATCCTCCTTCTTCAGCGGCTCCTCTGCTTTACCTGTGCGTCATAACGTTCAGGTTTCATCGTCAACTGTCAATGAACAATTTGGACGCGAGATTGGGCTGTAATGATGTATTGAGCTCACCCGACAGAGCGGCCCGCACTTGGACCGGTAGCGACTGCAACATGGAGGCGAACATGCGCATGTCGTGGTACGAGAGTCGCAGGTTCAACGTGCCCATTTGTACCTGCTCAAGGAAGTCGCAAAACTTCGATTATTAATATAAATATTTGCTGTAAAAAACTAAAAAACACACTTGTAATTAGCTCAACTAAAAAATAGAAAATAATTTTCTATAAGTATAGAAAAAAAAAAATTATGGTAAAAATGAGTAAGGTCGCACGAGATACCACTAGGCTTAAAGCGTTACTCTTGAAGATCCAGATCAGAGTATTCGCACAATGTTGTTTTATTATTGTATAGTCATCGGCCCTCGATAAATGAACCAAGTTTCAAATCAACGCGACTGACTGGATTTGATTAAGATCCCGCCTACTGTTTAAATAAAAACAGTATTTCCAGAAATTAATAAGGCGGAGGGTGAAGCTGCGTCCACCTACCCGCGTCCCCGGGTCTACATACGTGCAGGGTCCGGTCGGCGTGGAGCGTGAGTTGCACGGCGGCCGGGTCGATGATGGACAGCGCCGTCTCCTCCTCGAGCCCCAGCACGCACGAGAACACCTCCAGCTCCGACAGCGAGCACGACACCGGCACGGAGCTGCCGCCCGCGTAGCGCAGCACGGTCGTGCTCTGAAACCGCCCCACGTTCAAGGTTCTGCACCTGGGGAGCGCGCGGGCCACGGAGACAGTGTCCGCCTCTACGAGACCTCGACCGCTCATTGTAAGAATCGAACACTATTTCCGTTTGCAATCTTCGTTATTATTATTAAAAGTGTTTTTTTTTTTTGTGTATCTCAGGAATGTGGACAAGATAGGACTATTATAACAAATTACATTATTATTTTAGCAAAATATTTTATAATAATTATGGACGACAATATTGACAATAATTATTAAAAGAATGTAAAACGGCTTTAGTGGACTGTGGGCCGAGGCTCACCCGCAGTATGACGGCGTTGGTGTCCCAGAGGGACGCGTCCTCGACGAGCACGAGCTGCGAGTCCGTGACGTTCAGCTTCAGCTCCAGGCGCGGCTCGTCGTGCGGCGCCGCGCTCGAGCCCCGCGCGTGGGATGACTCCTCGCTACCAGCAAATACGAACTACTTCATATTGAAATTCAATGAGATTAAAACAATGAGACGACCTGACGCGCGGAGTTCCCGCTCTAGACTTATTCGTTATAAAATAAATAACACTTTTTGACAGTTTTACAGACTTTGTAGCCGCCTAGAGTCCGGGCGGGCGGCGCGCTCTCTGTCCGGTGCGTCTCGGCACTCCTCGTGTCTTAAAACGTTTACCACATAATTAGCGACCGGTTAAATGTTCTATAATTACATGTTGGGTTGGCCTGCGTCTGCTGACGGGGGCGGCGGTTGCAGGATGAAGTTGCCGGCCGCCTCCCACCAGTCCAGGATGGCCATGAGGCGCATGTTGTTGATCAGGATGGTGTACGCCGAGGAGTCCTGCCGCTTCCTGTTTACATGCGAGACTATGAACCATTAGCTCGTCGTGTCCGACGGGGGAACACGTCCGGCAGTGGGTACATCGTCATTCTAAGTACACACGTGCTTAACCAAACGATTACTACGATAATAAAATAACGTCGTATATCAAGTTAATAAAAACATAGATATACTTAATTATTATAGCGGTACGGCGGGCAGTCCCACTATTCTGTCTACGTTTACGCTGCGGATGGCGGAGTGGCGAGAGACTTCAATCTCATGATTGGACAGCGACTCTCACTTACCACGAGATGTCAGGAACCTTGTTCACGTACATGCGCCACAACAACTATAAGTTAATTCAAAAACATTTAATAATCTCTATTGAACATTGTAGGAGGCGCGGCACCTGGCGTGCACCTCGGCCTGCACGCTGTGCGGGTGCTCCGGCATGGGCTGCACGATGCGCGCGAACACGTTGGCGCGCCGGTTGGCGGGCTCGGCCGCGAAGCGCGTGTCGCTCACCAGGATCTCCTGCACACAGCGCGCGGGTGAGTGAGTGTGTGTGTACGTGCGTGCGTGCGGGCGTGCGGGCGTGCGTGCGGGCACACTACGTAACCAATAGCAACCTGCGACACTAAGTCGATGTCCTGGCTGAGGTCGGAATATATCTCGACGAGCAGACGCGATTTGATGAAATTGATGCAGGCCAGCGACGTCACGCCGTGCTCGGGCTCCAGGCGCACGGTCACGTCGAGCAGCTCCAGCCTTATGGACAACGTGGTCCACACCTGCGGACGGTACGGAGGCGGTACAGCCGGCGGCCCCCAAAGCGTCTTCGCTCGGAGACGTCGGTTTAAATAATATACTTTTGTGTTATACGAGTGCTATTATGTAATTAGTGGTAGCGTGATTCAAGTGTAGAGGCTGGGGCACCTGCTGGTGGGGCGGCGGGGAGGGCGCGGCGGGCGCGGGCGGCAGGGTGTCCCCCAGGTTGTGGTCCAGCACGCCGCGCACCACGCCGTACTGCGCCGCGTCCACCGAGCACACCAGCGTCGCCAGGGTGCCCTGGATGGTCATGTCCGCCACTGTAATCATATACACAACGTATTAATTACTATGACAACCACTTTATTCTTCTTTTCATGAAATTTTAGAAAATATCTGACGAAGACTAGCAACGGCTTGGTTCTGGTGCATTACTTCAGGAGTGAGCGACGGTAAGCACTTTGTGTCAGGAGAGCCTCGCTGAGTTGTGATACCAATGTGTTGTACGGTTACCGTTGTGTGTGGGGTCGAGGTTCCGTTCGATGCAGAGCAGCAGCTGCGCCGGCGCCTGCAGCAGCTGGGGCCCGCGGCCGCACCGCAGCGACAGCCCCTCCAGCTTCACGGTGCGCACCTCCAGCAGCTCGCGCTCACCTTGATGCAACCAACATCTCATCGTCACCTCGGCACGGGTGGTAAGACACCGAGCCACGTGCGGGCACGCCAAGGGTAACTGAACGGAAGCTACAATCTACGATTCATACATTTTGACATACGTCAATCTGCATTGCTGTCGTAATTATCATTGTTAATAATTTGATAAATTTTATCGTTTGGGGGACTTTTTGGCGGGAAAGCAAGGAGTGAAGTTGTGTGATTTGTTTTATTTTGTCTATTTAGTGTTTCTTCAGGTTTAAATGTGCAATAACGGTGGTTTATTAACTGTTTAATATCTGTGACAGTGCACAAATGTGGGAAAATGAAACAAAGCCGCTGGACGTAACTTCTCGGGATCCTCCAAAAAGTCCACTAAAAAAAATCTCAGTAAATGACCACCATTTTACTGAGATTATATTTCATCCCATATCATCTCATCTCATTTCATTTAATTTCATCCTAGTTGATTGATGTCTCACATTAATCATCTTCATTTCATTTCACTTCATATTATCATTTTCAATAAAAATATCCCACATTATATCTCATCTCATTTCATTTCATGCCACGTTTCATATATTAATCAACTTCATTTCATTTCATAGTATCATATTTCATAAAACAAAATAAAATATATAAAAGATTAGGCTGTATGGTATGATACATATGCTTTTCCATTTGGAAAAATAAATCTACTACTACTACTTTATTGTTAGTTGTATATTATTTGATTTAATGGGGTATGTGGGTGCGCGCCCCGACCACTACAATTTGTTTTTACTCAGTTGATCCGTTACTGTGATTATTGACTTTTATAAAAAATACAATTTTTTTGTCATCTGTACTGAATGGCTGGACTCACTGGCGTCGGCGTCCCGGAGCGCGGACACGGTGCCGGGCTGGCCGGCGCGGCGGAAGGCGGTGTCCAGCTCCAGCGCGTCCAGGCGGGCGGTGAGCGCGCGGGCGCTGCGCCCGGACACCGGCACCACGATGGTGGGCGCCGCCGCGCGCAGCCGCACCCGCACCCGCGCCGCGCGGTCCCGCCGCTCGGGGGGGGACACCTGGGGACCCACACGACTGTCTCGCTACCTACACCATTATATGTGTAGCACCGTCCTAATACCACATGCATTCATTTACAATTTTAAATTCCTTGTTTTATTGCACTTTAAAATTTATTGTAATTATTTATTTATTTATTTATTTCTCTATTTTCTATAATTACAATTAATAATACCTTAAAATTCTGTTAGACTTTTTTTAAATAAAAATGAATGAGAATAAAACTTCCTAAGAGGTGTGTGGAAACTATCGTGAACGGTCTATAGTTGTAACATGAAGATAAAATACCCTATGTTAAACCGATAAAGTCATTTTAACCATTTCTGATACTGCTTAAAGATCGATAATACTGCTTTCGGAATATAAATTAAAATAAAATTTAATATAAAAAACAATGTTGACGTGTTAAAAAAATCATATCATTAAAGTGAAAAACTTTCAAAATCTGTGTAAAAGTATGGACAATAGACATACAAGTGAGGTGCGGTACCCACCTCATAGACCTTCCCTATTATGTATGTACCTTTAAGGTTGAATTTGAAAATCCCGCTGTGTCCCCTCACCTTAAGCCTGGCCTGCATGATGACGCGGCGCAACAGACTGAACTCTGCGGCGAAGGTCTGCAGCTCGTGCACGAACCTCTTGGTGTGCACGTACGTGACCGCGCCCAGCTCCACGCTGAGGCTGGAGTCGTGGCCCGCCTGCGCAGCCTCCGCGCCGCCCAGCCTGCGGGCGCAGTCACCAGTTAGCTTCGTGCTACTGTTCCCTGCGCGCGGGGTCAGCTCCCGGACACGAATACACACTTAAGGCTTCGTCAAACAGAACGCGTAATTAGCGCGCGTCAAAGCGCTACGCTATGACGCCGAGATGTGATGTACTACTGTGGTAACATACCGTCAAACAGAGCGCCAGAGCTATAGCGCTTGTAGCGCGGCGTTAGTTTAGCGCTCTGACGCGCGCTAAGTACGCGTTCTGTTTGACGAAGGCTTTAATAGGTATAGGGTTGCCGTTACCGCCCCTCGTGTTACTGGGGGACGGGACCTTCCCATTGTTGTCCCGAAGTATAATGAAGTGCGGCCGAGGTACCTGCGGTAGTGGAAGGAGAGGGCCGGCGTGGCGTGGGTCCGCAGCCGATTCCTCCAGAGCGGCGCATGAGGCGTGAGGTCCTGCAGACAGAGCGCGGCGAGGCGCCCCCGCAGCTGGCGCGTGAGGCCGGTGGCGGTGGCCTGCAGCCTCACGCGGCACAGCAGCGCACGACACGTCTCCCCGCGCCCCCCCACCACCACCACGGACAGCGACCTCACGGATACGTCCGTCTGTGAGACCGTGCCCGCCGCGCTCTCCGACTCCACTGGGAGACAATTCATTTGTTATCATCTTATTGCCCCGTTATGTCTGATACTGAATACTTTATTGTGTTATAGTACAAAAGATAATCGTTGCTCCATGGTGGTACTTGTCTGTGCGTAGTTCTCGTGCACCTGTAGCGACTAACATTGAAGTATCATGAAAGAGCAATAGATAGTGGTGGTGTCGCGCATTGCTGTCGGATCTCACCGGTCTGCGGGTCGTCCTGTGGCGGCCCTGGCGGCGGGTCGTCGTCTCCCGCGATGCCGAAGAAGTCGAGGACGGCCACCCAACTGTCGATGTTGATGACCAGGTTGAGACTGTTGAATTCCACCGTTGTCAGCTTAGATACCTGTGGCGGAGGGAAATTTACAATGTTTTTACGGTCCTACGACTTAAGTGCGTGTTCGTCAAATTAATTAGTGGTCATGGAATTTGCCTTCTGATATTTGGTCTCGAACTCTGGATGCTCGGGGTCCGTGGTGTGCACGGACACGCAGACCAGGTTGTCGTCGTCGGACGACGGAGAGTCGTCAAACTGCGCGTCGTCTTCTGTATCTCCCTCTCCTTCGGGCGAACAAGGAGGCGTGGCTCCACATTTATTTTCCTGCTTCTTTGCCTTGTCTTTTTCCTACAAGAAAATGTTTGTTGAAACATTATATAAACCTAAACTAAAACGAATCTACCAGTTCACGGAGCTAACTGCGTGTCTCATACTTGTGAGCACTCTAGTAGTGATGTTCGTCGACACAAAAACAAACAAACAAATCGAAACCTGACATTCAAATACTTGCAGTCACCCAGCTCTCCACGATACCGACACTGTCCGTTTTCTATTTTGATGTTTTGAGAAATATTTATGAATTTTATGTTGTCAAAAGTCTTGAGCGCTGCTGTGTGTATGTTCGCACTACATGCGCTCGTGTCGACGTACCGGGGACTGGTCGAGCGTGGTTCCCGGGGACAGCGAGCGGGGGCGCGGGGCGCGCGGCGTGCGGGGCGGGGCGGGCGCGGGGGGCACGGAGCGGGCGCGCGTGCGGGGGCCGGGGGGCGCGCGTCCCACGTGTGACTGCAACAGCAGGCGATGCCGCGGGTCCCGCCCCGCTACCAAGTCCTCCATGCGGACACCTTGCAGGCGGACCTAGATAATTACTTTTTATTTAAGTAAATATTAGTTTTTTTCTATTAAACAAATATCACATTCCTATTTTTGACAAAAATAATCCCATGAATTTCAATATGACATTGCTTATTTTATTCACAAAGCAAAAACAAAATATTACTTATTCATAATAGCGACGTTCGTACGTCGCAATTGATTGGATACGAATGAATACGAATACGTTGGATGCGTACACTATACGCACACCAACAAAAACTAGTACACCAAAGCTTCCGGAAACAGCTTCGCCTTTAGTTATAGAGCGATGTAGCGGCGCCACTCGGCTGTCTCCTTACACTGGCAGTGACGTCATATGCCATTCTATGTAACCTTAGTATTTGCTACAGATCTAGTGAGTACAGGCGCACCTGCAGCGCGGTGTGGTGCGGGCGCGCGCGGCGGTAGTGCAGCGCGAGCTGCTGCACCGACAGCTCCACCAGGCTGCGCTCCCCCTCCCCCACGTCGGCGCGCAGCCGCACGCTCAGCGCCGGCACCTCCGCGCGGACTGCACCACCACGGGACACATATATTTATTTGTTTAAACACAAGACATGTTCGCTTTTAGACATTTTCTTATTTTATGATGACTCCTTTTCTGATTATTCGTCCACTGACTCAATGAAAGCTGAGACGCACGTGGGCGACTTATTTTATTTAGGAAAGTTATGTTTAAGAATGAACGTCGGGCTGGTATTTTAATAAACATATTCGATAAAATTTACGAATTAACAATAGTGCGAAATCTCCAAAAGCGAAGATTTTACGGTCCCTGTAACTTCGTTATCCAGGTTCGACTGTTTAATAAACAAATAATTTTGATGAATGAAAAGGTTGAATGGCATGAAGTAATCACCGATGAGCGGGATGAAGTGCGGTGCGGGCGGCGCGCTGGCGGGGCGCGGCACGGCCAGCACCGCCGCGCGCACCGCGGGGTCCAGCCGCAGCGTAGGGACCGCGCCCTCCACCACCGACCCGCCCTGTGCAACAATACAAAAATAAATCACCATCTGTTTTGTTCCGTTGAACGCAATACCCTTCGAGAGCCGACGGCTGGCATGCTGCTAACCAGAGATGAACACAAACTATTTTTTAACTATTATTTAAATATGTAGTTTGTACACACTAGATGCTTGTACCCTACAGCAACCTAAGATTTATTTGGTAAGTTAAAACTAATTATAAAACGGAGTATGAAAGCTGGGTCGCTCACGTCGTGCAGTCCGTGCGCGGGGGGCTGGTGCGAGGGCGCGGGGTGCGGCGCGGGGCGCGGCGCGGGGGGCCCGGCCGCGGAGGACAGCGCCTGCAGCAGCTGCTCGTACTGCTCGCGACACGCGGACAGCTGCAGCCCCTCCACTATTTTCCCGGTCACTTCACACTGCACACAGACACAATAACTCAATTGTCTATAGCGATATTCCGCTAGTTAAGGTGCCGTCAGCTGTACGAGCCTTTAATTCTATTGTGAAGAATTAAAACATGCTAACACGAAGAATATCGCGAGCCTTTTGCTCAGGGCGATGAAAATCACTCGTTGGTTTCGTGGATCACGGGCATGACTAATATGAGCTTCCACAGTCAGCGCAGAAATGATGTTTAAGAAGGTATTCCGAACGTGTTAATATGGAGGTGAGGTGCAGTCGACGCCAAGCGTGCAGTCAATTGGAGTAGATTTCGAAAAGCAAACAAGCTGGCAACGTCCTATGTGTTAATCAATTACCCGAGCCTGTACAGAACAGAGCACAAGCGGCAAGTGAGTGCCGCTACACGCCTATACGTGAGAACGAGAGTGAGACTGAAAAAAATTAAACTGATATTTTGTGGAGGCTGGACATTCGAGTAAGGTTGCGCTGCATCTGTACCTGGTAGACGACTTCCCCGTCGAGTTCCTTGTCGCAGTAGTCCAGGGTCAGCTGCAGCGCGGTGTCGTGCAGCACGGGCTTGCCGGCCGACACGTCGTACGTGTCCTCCATGCTCTCGGCGGTCAGCGGCCGGTGCTTCAGCTTCTCGGCCACGTCCAGCTGCCAACCAACCACACATCGCATCACACTCACGCCCGCGCGACACGGCGGGCAGTGGGCGCGGCTCCGTACCGTGGCCAGGGCGATGTCTCGCAGGCGCACGGTGTAGGCGGTGTGCGCGGGCGGGCCGGGCCGGTTGGCGAGGCTCATCCGGCCCAGGTGCGCCACCAGCACCGCGCTGCTCTCCGCCGACACCGGCACCACCACCACCGGCGACTCCAGCTCCACGCTCACGCTGCAACACTCCACGCCCTGTACTCCTGCACTGCTCTCATATAGAATCTACACAATTACTGCTACTCTAACGTACTACTACGTACTATCAGAATCGCTCTATTTATTACAAAATCGTCAACAAAATTTGAGTATTAATAATTAATATAATAGTACGAGATCTCGCTGCAGGTTGGTGTGCTCATCGACTTTTTGTTTAAAACCAAATTTTTATGTTTATTTATAATTAAGAGAATATATATTTACTAGGGTGCCTATCAAAATTTGGCGCCATTATTTTTAATTAAATTATTTTTAATTGATTTTTGGTAAAGAATTTCGTTTATTTATTTTTTAAATAAAATAACCTTTACATCACGGTAATTAATAATATATAAAGATTCTAAAAAATCACGGTTGCCGTTGCGCACCTGGCCGCACCTCTTTGCAGCCAGGTGTAAACAGGTATGATTTCGATAAATTTATACGTTTATAACCTATTTTCATTAATTATATGTGAAATTGAAGCTAATTTTTTTCTATTAATTATCATATAAAGTTGCTTAATTAAATCTGGCCGCAAATAAGGGTTACTGGCTGTTAAAGNTTTTTTTCTATTAATTATCATATAAAGTTGCTTAATTAAATCTGGCCGCAAATAAGGGTTACTGGCTGTTAAAGATAATAAATATTTAAGGTAGAGTGAAAGAGAGTTAGCGCGTAACATCATTTGTCAGACGAGGACAGCGATTGCCGGCTGTGCGACGCTTTTGCGCATGCGTCGAACGTTAGTGTTCTCAACCACCAGGGAGTAATAGAGACGACTTATAATAAATACTCCAAAAAATATGTAATTTTTTTCAAAATGACAAATTTCTAAATTGCAACAAAAAATTAATATTGATTTGATATATCGACGGTCTAGTTAGCAATTTGTCTAACTCCTTATTTTTTAGAGGGTGACTTTTTTTAACATTTTGATGAAGCAATAATCCAATTACAAATTATTTGAATGATTCAAACTAAAATATTATATCTCTATTAGATATTAATGATATTAAATGTTTTTTTAAAGCGTCGCAAAAGCGTCGCACAGCCGGCAATCGCTGTCCTCGTCTGACAAATGATGTTACGCGCTAACTCTCTTTCACTCTACCTTAAATATTTATTATCTTTAACAGCCAGTAACCCGTATTTGCGGCCAGATTTAATTAAGCAACTTTATATGATAATTAATAGAAAAAAATTAGCTTCAATTTCACATATAATTAATGAAAATAGGTTATAAACGTATAAATTTATCGAAATCATACCTGTTTACACCTGGCTGCAAAGAGGTGCGGCCAGGTGCGCAACGGCAACCGTGATTTTTTAGAATCTTCATATTAATTACAGTGATGTNATTACACCAAAAGAGGGTAGATATGAAAAAATTTTAAACTCGCTATATACTTAAGATAATTCAATATGTGAACAATTTAACTACTTTCTACCTAATAATTATAAAAAAAAACTAATAATGTAAAGTAATGCAAATGAAATCGAATATACATAGGGAATAATCAAATGTACAATTAATAATGAAATAACTAGAAAAAAAAAACTTAAACATACGACCTACCTGTAAGGCTCCGACGCCGCAGACCTGTGGAGGATTGGCCTTCGGGTGTTGGTAACAGCCCCTCCTAACCCCGAGGGGTAGGGGAGGACTGGGAACAGACACGGGCGGCCAGACTCAATGGCGCTCATGTACACCAGTTTTATTAAAAAATAAAATGGTTACGCAGCTTTCACAGGCTGATCGACACCTACCCGCTATTAACCAATGTTAAGAATAGAATAGTGTCAAACAACTCACCTGTTCCCGGGTCCCTCGTTTGTGCTGCTCGGAACGTTACCGCGCCGAAACAGCTGACGCCAGATGAAACACACTCGCGTAGGATCACTTCTGCACAGCACACGACACACAAGGATATCCTGGACGCACTGGTGTCCCGGGGGCCACCCACCTTGAGATATAAGTTCTAAGGCCTCAAGTATAGTTACAACGGCTGCCCCACCCTTCAAACCGCACCGCATTACTGCTTCACGGCAGAAATAGGCAGGGTGGTGGTACCTACCCGTGCGGACTCACAAGAGATCCTACCACCAGTCCTTATATTATTATAACACTGTGACTATTGGTAATTGAACTAATATGCCGAAATATATTCAGTAGTAGCAAAACAGCATTGTATATTTCACGATTCAGTAACAAACATACTAACGCTTAACGCAAACAAAAGTTAACACATATAACAATAATTCGTTTAATACGTATTATGTGAATTCGTAATGGCCGCATTAAAAGGAGCCATTATAAGCGGCTAACCGACTCGTGTAATCACCCCATTTGTATGTAAATTAAACTTTACTAAGATAATATAAGGGATTTGACTCCTTGAGATGCGAGGTCAGGTAATTACGGAGTGGCTTTGTTTGATGAAGTATGAGATATCGGCTTTGTTTTAATCGTTGTCTACGTGCTATGTACTATTTATATTCATGTTTTTTTAATTATTATTGCACTAGTTATGTTAACGATTTCATGACTAAGCTACGATTTCATGGCTGTTGTGTTGAGTGTTTTTTTTATTGCTTAGTTGTGTAGACGAGCTCACAGCCCACCTGGTTGGTTACTGGAGCCCATAGACATATACGATGTAAATGCGCCACCTACCTTGAGATATAAGCTCTAAGGTCTCAAGTATAGTTACAAAGGCTGCCCCACCCTTCAAACCGAAACGCGTTACTGCTTCACGGCAGATAATTCACGGCCAGAATCACCACCACCACTAAGGATTATTTTCAGACCACATCTAAAGAAAGACATTTTACTATCACAGTGCTTGCTGCTTAATCATAGCGTACAAGTTTCAAAGAACCTGACTGTACACTGAAAATGCAGTATATTCCAGTCTAGAATACATTTGCATAGAAAACATAGTACGTATTTAATGTATAGACGGTTTTCCTTTAAGAACAAAAAAAAACAGTGTAATTCAAGTTGCGAATACTAAAATAATTAGAATTATACATTGTCATAGATATTAATCCGAACTAGATATGAGTCGTCTATTATCAAAGGTGGCATTCTGTGCATTTGGACAAAAAAATGTTATTGATATGTCAATACAGATTGATTTGAATATAATCGTCTCCTTCAAAGAATACGGTTCAAAACCCACATTAAATAAAGGTTAATACTTAACCTGTTATTTATCTAAGATGTCGTTCAGAAGAGTTTTGTGACTGCCAATGGAATACAAAGTCAATAATTCGTTTTTCTGATTTACCAATAATTGTCCAAAAGTCACATTGCCGGCTTTGATAATAGTCGACTCATATATTAGTGTAGCCGATAGCTATCAGAGGACACAGAATTTTAAGAAGTTTGTATAGGTATAACCGATCAACCATATTTGGACCGTTGGTCTACCGAGCAATTTCACCCGCTCGATGGAAGATCTTCCTTTTGTGGCTATCTCCTAAAACTAATAAAAGTATCACGTGTTACAGATGACCTTGCCTTTACTTATCTTATAATAAATAAATTTAAAAAAAACTAAATCGAAACTAATGAGCTCGACCATATTAAAACGATCGTATCGTAACCAGAACATGAATGTTTAACAAACAGCCATTAAAAGCTAAACAAGTTCCATTGCGTCATCAATCATCGTCGATTGACGGATGACGTCAGCATTGACAGTAATGAAATTTTACGCCCGCATCAGTGCGCTCCGTCCCGGTAATTAGACGATAAGTGGACTCGTAGATGGGATTCTCCCTAATGAGTATTTCGTATTTCAACTGGCTACGTTGTCTGCAGCCGCGACTTAGTTTGTGCTTTGCTGTATTGTTCTAATATAGGGCATGATTAGCCGTCTACAATGAGCAACATCGTTCAATTAATTAATAATAATATTAAATTCATTCAATAACACCACAGATGCTCGAGGTGGAAAGTTAATATAGTTGTTGGATAATGATGCATGATAATTTGTGGTTTGATGGAAAATGATGTTACATGAAAAATTAGTAAAAAAAGCAGTAACGAAGAGCGACTAACGCTTTTATTTGTCTTTGATAATCAAATCATTGAAATAAATATGATATTTGATAAATTTGTGCATATTTTGAAGTAACACAACCGAACACACAGCTACTTAATCCCACTGAATGTCTTGCTAGATCTTCTTAGTGGGTCGCGATTTCCATCCGGTGGTATATTCTGCGAAGCACTACTTCTGTTAGAGCTGGTGTTCGCAAATTCTCTCAGGTTGAGCCCGTGAGCTCACCTACCCGCCCGGGCGTAGTTTTATTTTATTTATTTTATTTATAACTTCTTATACTAGAAAGTATAAAGGCGGACTTAATGCCATAGGCATTCTCTAACAGTCTACCTTAGGGGAGTGCAGAGATGAAGCTTGGTAGGTGTAGTGTGAAGGGGATATTACTTAAACATATATTATGTAGTTTGAATCGCCCCTAGGCTACTATCGAATAGGTAGGTAAATAATAAAAAACGACTGCTTTACAGCAAGTATTGGTTGTACGATGGTACCTTCGCATGAAAGCACAATGCACCTAGTTCGGGGAGATTTGAGGCAGAATCAAGAATAATTTGGAAGAAACAAGATACTTTAAATAAGACTATTGATCCCCAGTAGTCGAAATTCGACTATAATTAATTGAAATTATAAGTTTGTACACTATTATGATTCTATTGTCAAAGACTGTTTATTATACTTCTATAATCATATATTTTGCCAAGATTACACTTTAGACAAATACTAATAAAGACAAACGATATTTAGTATTTTGACCACATACTTTACGCAATAAGAAAAGTTTGACAATAAACAAATAGTATGCATGCGTGTGTGTGTTAAATATAATATGGTAATTGTTTTATTTATTTATTGATTTAATGTATTTCTATGCATAATAACAGGTAAAGTACAAGTTTGTTTTTCTACTTCGCCAACCATGAGCGACCACACCGGTGGT